GTCTTTAAAAGTGTCTGTAAAGTGACTCTTAAAATGAAATGCATCCCCAACTACTATTGATATAATTACTTCGATAGTAGTTGTATTTCAATAGAGGTTGCAAAGTGATTCTTCAAATGAAATAATCCCCAACCACTATTGAAATAATTTATTTCAATAGTGGTTTTATTTCAATAGTGGTTGCAAAGTGATTTTTCTAATGAAATGCATTCCCAACCATTATTGAAATAATTTATTTCAATAGTGGTTTTATTTCAATAGTGGTTGCAGCAACAAGTGTTGCAACAGTGCAGTGCACAAGAACCAAAACTTTTTTTGCTTAATTTTGGAGTTATTGCTCTTTGTTAATTTTAACATTTTGATCTTTGTCCGGAACATAACTCTAAAACTATAAGAGAGAAATTAACATGAATCATTGTATGTAGATGAATCTCATTGAGTAGAAGTGCAGTGCAAAAAAACCCATAACTCTGTTAAGTTATCTCCCCTTTTAGTAAAACATTGTCCAGGACATAGCTGTAAAACTATAAGAGATATCAACATGGGTAGATGTGCAGTGCACAAGATTCATAACTCTGCCTTGCCTATTTTTGGAGAAATTGCCTTGTGTTTATTTTTAATTTTTGAACTTTGTCTGGGACATTACTCTAAAATCATAAGAGATATCAACACGAAACTTTGTTGTTAGATAGATCTCATTGAGTAAAAGTGCAGTACAAAAAGCATAACTCTGTTTTGCACATTGTGTGAATTATCTTCCCTTTTTAAAAATTATTGTCTGGGAAATAACTCTAAAACAACAATAGATATCAACATGAAACTTTGTAGGTAGGAAGATCTCAATGGATAAATGTGCAGTGCACAAGAACTTTAACTCCGCCTTGCCAAATTTTATAGTTATTGCCCTTTGTTCATTTTTAGCTCACCTGACCACGAAGTGGTCAAGGTGAGGTATAGTGATGGGGCTATGTCCGGCGTCCGTCGTCGTGCGTCGTTAACAGTCTAGCAGTCACAGTTTTGATTGGATCGTCATCAAACTTTGTCAGAATGTTTGTCTCAATGAAATACAGATCGAGTACGAAGATGGGTTATCTCGCGTCAAAAACTAGGTCACAGGAGCTAAAAATAGAAAAATCTTGTTAACACTCTAGAGGCTGCAGTTTTCATCCAAATATTCTGGAAATTTGTCAGAAAGGTTGTTTTATCGATATCTAGGTCAAGTTCGAAGATGGGTCATCTCCGGTCAAAAACTAGGTCACAGGAGCTAAAAATAGAAAAAGCTTGTTAACACTCTAATAATTGGGTTGTTAACAGTCTAGCAGTCACAGTTTTGATTGGATCATCATCAAACTTTGTCAGAATGTTTGTCTCAATGAAATACAGATCGAGTTCGAAGACGGGTTATCTCGGGTTAAAAACTAGGTCACAAGAGCTAAAAATAGAAAAAGCTTGTTAACACTCTAGAGGCTGCAGTTTTCATCCAAATATTCTGGATTTTGTCAGAAAGGTTGTTTTAATGATATCTAGGTCAAGTTCGAAGATGGGTCATCTCCGGTCAAAAACTAGGTCACAGGAGCTAAGAAAAGAAAAAGCTTGTTAACACTCTAGTGGCTGCAGTTTTCATCCAAATATTCTTGAAATTTGTCAGGAAGGTTGTTTTGATGATATCTAGGTCAAGTTCGAAGATTGGTCATCTCCGGTCAAAAACTAGGTCACAGGAGCTAAAAATAGAAAAAGCATCTTAACACTAGTGGCTGCAGTTTTCATCCAAATATTCTGGAAATTTGTCAGGAAAGTTGTTTTGATGATTTCTAGGTCAAGTTCGAAGATAGGTCATGTCCGGTCAAAAACTTGGTCACAGGAGCTAAAAATAGAAAAATCTTGTTAACACTCTAGGGGCTGCAGTTTTCATCAAAATATTTTTGAAATTTGTCAGGAAGGTTGTTTTGATGATTTTTAGGTCAAGTTCGAAGATGGGTTACCTCCGGTCAAAAACTAGGTCACAGGAGCTAAAAATAGAAAAAGCTTGTTAACACTCTAGCGGCTGCAGTTTTCATCCAAATATTCTTGAAATTTGCCAGGAAGGTTGTTTTGATGATTTCTAGGTCAAGTTCGAAGATGGGTTATCTCCGGTCAAAAACTAGGTCACAGGAGCTAAGAATAGAAAAAGCTCGTTAACACTCTAGTGGCTGCAGTATTGGTTCAGATATTCTGGAAATTTGTCAGGAAGGTTGTTTTGATGATTTCTAGGTCAAGTTCGAAGATGGGTCATCTCCGGTCAAAAACTAGGTCACAGGAGCTTAAAATAGAAAAAGATTGTTTACACTCTAGTGGCTGCAGTTTTCATTCAAATATTCTGGGAATTTGTCAAGAATGTTGTTTTGATGTTTTCTGGGTCAAGTGCTAAGATTAGTCATGTCCGGTCAAAAACTAGGTCAAAGGAGCTGAAAATAGAAAAATCTTTTTAACACTCTAGTGGCTGCAGTTTTGATCCAAATTTCCTGGAAATTGGTCAGGAAGGTTGTTTTGATGATTTCTAGGTCAAGTTTGAATATGGGTCGTGTCCGGTCAAAAATTAGGTCACATTGCCCAAATATGAAAAAAATCTTTATAACACACTAGAGGTCACATGTTTGACTCGGTCGCATCAGACTTGGTCATGATGCTTGTTTAAGACATTGCTTGGATGCGGTTGTGTCAGGTGAGCGATCCAGGGCCATCATGGCCCTCTTGTTACGTTTTGAACTTTGTCCGGGACATACTTCAAAAACCATAAGATGTATCAACAAGAAACTTTGTAAGTTGATAGATCATATTGATTAGAAGTGCAGTGTAAAGAACAGTTCCTCTGCCTTACCTTGTTTTGGAATTATTGCACTTTGAACAGTTTCCAGGGACATTACTCTGAAACTACAAGAGGTGTACTTTCCTATGTCCAAAACCTATTCGGGGAGCATCACCCGGCTCAAACCGGGCTCTTGTTCCATCTAGTATTACATGACTGTACATGACAATATCGCCATGACAATATAGCGACCTGTGATCGGGATCGCACGGAATCCTGGATCGTATCAAACTTAAAGGGAAACGAATTTACTGCTTTGGCTCTGATATTTGTAGTAATTTTTGGCAAATATCAAAAATCAAATATTCAAATATATAATATATAAACACGTTTATATGATTACCAATATATCGATTTAAACTTTAGATTGAAATTATGACCAGGGCCTACACATTTACTAAAATGGATATACGGGCCAGGCGTACCGGATTCTAGGATTTTTCCGGACCAGTGTTTTGACACGTGACCTATCTTCTCCTATTTATATTGTAACGTACTCGATTATGCAAGGAAGACACACATTATATTGGCGCTTTTCCAAACACCCTTTCTTAAATTAAGATGTCATTAATAAAAGATTTACATATACAACTTAACTAGATCATTATAAACTGTTTATTTGAAATTTTATTTCATTTTGTTCTCATTTTACCATCTGGAGTCCAGTGGATTTAAAATCATTCTTGTTACCTTAGTGTTGCCTGATTTGTTTTCATACTCCATAACATTTCTTATGATTACTTATTATGTATTTTTTGTATATTGAATGTTTAGGAACTGAGCTGATTTTATGGTAGATATAAGATATTTGATTTAATTGTATTCCCTTCTTTGCTCCCTAATAGCTGTGAACTCACCCAATAGCCCGAACATGCATGTTGCCATTACAAAACTACTATTAATTAGAGCTATTGGGGGCCTAACTAAAATCATATATTTAATAGGAGCACCTTTATATCTAAGTGACACGACACTTTAATAATAAACGCTTCAACACATATACATTCTGAAACAAAATGACATTTATTATTTACCTCTTTCAGGTGGCAGAGGCATCGGCTCAATCGAGATTGACGGACTTAAAGGGATTCATATTGCGATTATAGCAGCAACTGCTCCAATATGGATCCCTATTGGGCTTGTTGCAATTGCCATAATTTTCTCTGTTGATCCTGTTGGATTAGGGTACCTTGTAGTGGAAAGTTTTAAGAAGACTTTCGAAAGAAAAGAATACCGAAAGAATAAGGCAAAATTTATGAAAAAATGGACACATAGTCTCCATAAAGTTTTACATAAAATCGAAAATATATCTTACCTGATTGATCGGATATACCTAGAAAGTATGCTGTATCGAATAGACTATTTGTTTTCCACTTTTTTACCAAAACAAATGAAAGCCGATAGAGCTCAACTGCTTAGCATTGTGAACGACAAAAGAATTGCTGACCAAATTATTGATCTATTTCAACCAAAGGCAATAAAAGTGAAGCCCATTGTCAAATCGCTGCGCTTATTTGATTTGAGATATTTAGCTGATGATGTCATTGATATATCAAAGATTCAACACTACAGACAAATTGGGGGTGGGGTTTTTGATGTTTATAGAGCGACATGGCAACAGGGTGACGGAAACGATAAAGAGGTCGCTTTAAAAAATTTTAAAAACCATGACATGTACTTACAGCTATGTGAGGTTACGTGTTCAAGGTATTAATATTTTATATTTTATTAAATGTTTTATATGGATGACTATAGTTGCAAGTAAAGACCGTTTAATATTGTGTATGCTTTTTCTTGTGCATTATTCGGCAGCGTTAATTAAGTCGTATTATAAGGGTATTGCAGATAGTAAGCAGTTTGGCACACATTCCGCAGATGTTTTGTTATCATATTGTCTATCAGATTCACGTCCTTTATTGTACCTTAGATATTGTTTAAAAGTCCATAGCTGTTTCATTGAATATATAGATTAAAATGCACAGCGACTTATCAGTTATAGGTGTCATTCAAAAGTAGTAGTAATATAGTCAACCAAAGCACAATTGATTTTTTCTTTTAATTATCATCTTAAACATTTTCAAGTTATCAGAAATGTAAGACACAGTTTTGAACTTTTTAAAGTTAAGGCACGACAATATAGTTTAATTTTACGGCGTGATCTCTGCTGACGTCAACGATATCAAGGTCGAATCGGCTTATCTGGAAATGAAATTGGTTTACCCTTATATGATGATCGGCTGATGCTCGTGCAGGAGCTGTGTGATCAGAGTTTAGAGTCTTTGGTTTTTGGAACGAAAGACAAGCAGTGTGGGTATGTTTGTAATTAAATAACATACATAGTACAAGATTAAACATTAACTATAACTTAATTATACGATAACGTACATGAGAAGTGCTTAATACTTCATTCATGATTTTAACAGATATTGATACGGTAATGCTATTTCCTTATATTTATTGAAGGTCATTTTCCAATGCATTGCGACGGGGAGAAACGCATGAGTTTTTCTTCAATATGTGCTCATCGATATGTGAGGGTCTATGTTACATGCATAGTATAGGGTACTTACACAGGGATTTGAAACTCTCAAATGTTCTGGTAAGACATATTAATATACTTATGAATTTATTACTAGAGTAAAGTTCATTTCCAACTTCTCTATGTTATACATTTCTGCTTCAAGATTTTGAGTCCTATCTGAAAATAAATAAAGTGATGGGTTAAATTATAAATTCGTTGTGATCAGAAACGGCTTTTGTGTAATGGCGTAATTTTACATATTTCAATACAGGTTATAAATGGTGTTGGAAAACTGAGCGACTTGGGATTTGCCAGAGCAGAAGCTGTCATTACTGGAACAGCAGTTGGTACTTTGTCGCATATGGCACCAGAACTTCTAGAGGAAAAAGTGTATAGTTTCAGCTCAGATGTGTATAGTTTGGGTATTCTCACATGGGAACTTTGGTATGGTACTCGGTCTTATTCAGATGCAGATTTTGCTGGTTACGGTGTTGCCCAATTTATCGATGCAGAAAAGCGTGGGGAGAGGCCAAAATTTGATAAGGAACATACAATGATGGACGAATTGATCAATTTGGTTGAACAATGCAGGGGTCATGATCCGAAACAACGTCCAACCGTGCAACAAGTAGGCACAATCCTGCGAAGTATCGATGAAAAATATCGGAGAGATATTTCCAGATAGTTACTAAATTACTGGACCCTGTATATTTAGTTTACTCAAAGCTGAAAGAAAAGTATACTTGTAGATAGAATATATATACTATATAGTTTTATATTGACACCAAATGACCTAGATCATTGCGTTTAAAATTTAAGAGAACCAATAAATAGACAGGTGTAGATAGCCTATCAATTTGACACTAAACGATTTTTAGATAAGGTACATATTACCGGTTCCTTTGTTAATTAGTATTTTGGAGATAACATGCATATTTTTATGATTTTGATTTGTTAATGAGCAAGAAATCATTATTTTAGAATAAAATTAGGTAAAATAGGTATGATAATTATGTAAAATTGTTCGGAAAACAGAAAAATGACGATGTAGAGAGTTGAAAGCAAAATAATAACTTCTTTTATATTCATATATCTGTTTTAAAAGATAAGGGGTATTTCAGTTAGGAATGGTTCACTGCAACAATCGAATTCTTTTTTCTAACATGTTTGTGATAATTACAATTTGACAAACCATAATTAGACTTAAGATGAATACTTTTTCTTAAATATGTGCTCATCGATATGTGGTGCTCTATGTTACATGCATAGTACAGGCTACTTACATGCTCACAGAGTTATAAAACTCTACAAATGTTCTGGTATGACATATTAAAATATTTATGAATATATAACTAAATGTATACTCATGCAAGTTAGTTCTTGTTTATATCATAACATTGCATGGCATAATCTTTATTTGCATGAACATTCACATGTATAACAAATATACATTCATTTACAAAGGACATAAACGTATTACAATAAGTGTACACTGTTCACGGAAAAATCAAACAAATGACGATTTAATTGACTTACCTCTTCCGATGGATGTTATCATAATATGCGTGATGTGATGTAATGTTAAATTTAACGAAGCACTCTTTCTTTTGGAATGCATAGTATAATCATTTTCATAAATTGATTAGTTCTCTAAGACTTTAAGATTTTGCATGTCATCAGTTATTATTTTTTAAGGTAATTTATGCTAAATTCAAAGCCTCTATTATGAAAAGTATTCATTTTCAGTGGAGTTGGGCAGTGTGCATGATGTGTGATTTCAAACCTACCGGTAGCCAATTTTTTGTAGTACTCTGTATATTTTTTGTACCATATAATTATGGTTTTCTTGTTCATTTCTTTTTTAATTCTTTAATGCAGAACTATTTGAAATGTTTATTTAGGTACCTATTAGTGTTAATAATAAAAAGTAGGGTACTTGTACAACTTTAGATGTTCATATGAATGGTAAACATCCCTTACACTTTGCACAAATTGTCAGAATTGTTTCAAGATAAATATTATATTTATATATTAGGATGACCCATCGATAGATTACAAATGTTACTCAGTCTGATATTCTAAACATTTTCTTTCAGATATGCATTTCTCTTCATTTCAAACTACGATTGTTTCTTACCGCCCTAAAGAATAAACATGAAATAAGTAAAATTGTTCATTAACTGATGTGTTGTTCTATTTAACTAATAAAAAATTTGAATTTAATCATCAATACTTTTTAAACAAAATAGTAATTTAAATAATTATGCTTTTGTTTATATGTATGTCAATAATATGATAAAGTTTAATAATGTCAACTTTTAAATGTCTTTTTAAATTGTAACAATTTCTGCTACACATCTTAAAACCTTAATAGTAGACCATCTATGGCAATGTAATTTTTAGATTTAAGACAGTTTACAGTTACTATTACAGTTTGTGAAAATACAGAGCCTTCGATATCTCTAAATTATAAAAAGCTTGCACCAGCGACTGTCTTTTTTATGTCCCATTCCCTATCTGAAAGCTAGTGGCGGCCGGCGAATAGACATTTTGTGATACTGGCAATACTGGTTTCTGCTTCCCATGTTCGCGCAACAGTGTCAATGTTTTGTTGGTGTTCATTTACATTTGTGAAAATAGGCTATTTTGTGAATGAAGATTTGAAAGACTAGTATTGTTTGAAGAACTTTGATCACTTATTTTCTAGAACATACTGTTGCAAAGCATTATGCAGTTTGTTCCATTTGCTTGTTTTGATTTTGTGACAATTGTTTGTATAGATTTGGAAGGGATGCCCTGACATAATTTTTTGTGCCCGGTATCCCGTTCTTCTAACTTTGTTTATTGATGGAGTAGTGCCTATACAATGTCAAAAAATTATTACATGTAATATCAATGAGTGAAAGAAATTGTAAACGCTAGTATGTATGACTATACAATAAAATGTGTTTCAAGTTTTATATCGTTTTGTTGTTTCCGAAATAATACCATATAAACTCTACGAGCACATTTTCTGGAGGTTTCAATGGAAAGTCGATTTGATTTCGTTGCGGATTAACTATGATACTGATACAGTCGGGATGATTTATTTTACAATAATATCTCACAGGACGCTGGATAAAGTAACAAAGTGGCCAGATCCTCGCATGCCATAGGCATTTAAGACCAAGCAGCGAATTCTGCTTGTATATAAAATCTATAAAATCTACGAATTTCAGTAACAAGTTCCATTGTTTCGAAACTCATTGTGTTATTAGTCTGACATCTTTGCAAATAAAGTCATTCAAAAGCTTGGAGGTTTCCCTGTACGACAATATCGTGCACATTTCCTAAGAATTCACCCAGTTGATAACGACAACATGTGATACAAGCAACGACGAACAAAGCAATTCACTTACAGTTTGTGTACAGTATAACATTGATCATATTTTGTATTCAGTTCAGTGTTCATTGCACTACTTGTCTCTACTAAGAAAGGCGCAGTGAATTCCCGCTACTGACAGAAATATAAATACCTTAACTTGTATCTCTATGCGTTTTAAACCTAAAGAAAATCAACCAATCAAAATATGTACATAATTATTTTAAAAAATCATACATATTACCAATAAATCGATTAGATAAAATTATTTTATATTATTGTTTCTTTTTGAATATTTTCAAAACTTTACCATTATTTCTTATTATGATTTCGTGCGCAATAGCTGACTATCGATATTGTTTAAACAATCTAGTTAAGACTTATTCCATTCAATAGTAAGAGTACGTTTAACTTCCTGAAGAAGTAAAACTAAAGGAACATTCAAGTAGAGTTGGATTTCAATCTCAAAAGTGGCCTGGATACCAAAACTAACAAGATACGTCGAAAACAATTTTAATGCTATTTACATATCTTCAACATATCCAAAAAATAACCTGAAAGAATTCGAGTATTAAGTTCTGGGCGATTGTTAATAAAGTCAAAAAAAATCTATCGGCCAGTTTGATGCTTTACTTCTTAGGAGAAAACGAATGTTACGAAAAGAATATTCACCATTTTTGTTGAAGAAAAACGGACACAGTTACAACTTGTACATATTTCCGTTAATGAGACTGTTCAATGAAAGATAATGATGTTGATGACGACGACAACGAAGAGATGTTGTTGTTGTTGTTGATGATGATGATGATGATGCTAATGATGAATTTAAGCGCTACTAATTGAACTTTCTTGTGATTATACATATATTGCAGAAACAACCGGGTCATTCACATTTTGTCCTTCAATGGTTAAAGTAATTAAATTGCCAGATCCTTTCATAACATAGCTGTTTAAGACCGCGCGGCAAATTCTTCTATTACAATACACAAACTACGAATTTCAGACAAAAAAATCCATTTTTCGTAGACCATATTGTGTGCTTTCGGTTGGTCTGACGTATTTACAGATTAAGATATGTATAGCTTACCTTTACGACAATTTCGGGCACATTTCCGAAAAAAGAAACCCACATACACACAAAAACCCAACATTTTACGGTATCAACCATGAGTTACCCGGTTGCTGCCAGCAGGTTAAACGCGTATTAAATTAAAACTTTTCTTTACAAACCGAAAAATAAATTACGTAGCTGCTTTTAATAGTATTTCAGATTTCATTTTATGGCTTTGTAAGTTGTCCTCTAAAATTGTACTTGCATCTTGGGCATCTGTTATGCCGGCTCGCCACGGCGAGCCGGTATTACGTTAGGATTTTACTGAGAAACAACCTAAAACTCCGAATCCATCCAAAAATTTTATCGAAGCTTGGCTTCCAGCTTTCTAAAAAATGTATCTGTCAGGGCTGGAATCCAAAATTATTTAGCCAATCAAATTTAATCTTACATAGCGTCAAAAAACCATCAATTTTCACGCCATTTTTAAAAAGCAGCAAGTATTGCTTTGAGCGCAAAGATATAATGATGATTAAAATGTTTGTTTTCATGAATTCTTTTCAATAAATCATATTTACACCGACTTTTGATTTAGCGATTTCACCTGTTTTCTCTGTAGTAAGGTTTGTTTGGTTAATTAACATAAGTGTACATCTGGTTCTGTGCATTTTTTCTTTTTCTTTTTTTCCGATCATTTTATCCTTTCCGGTATCTAGGCTGGGGGGAAATCCGTGGATCCGGGACGCCGGGGATCCGGGATAGTATTAGATATATAGGGAAAAGGAATAAACTATATTTGTGTTGATTATTGTCGTAATGAAAGGCGATTAAACAATAACTTTTTATTTTTTATTGTATGTAAGGAATGATAAATTAATTTAACTTAAGATTTAAGTATATTTAGAGCTATTTATTAACAAACTTAAATATTTGTCATGTGGTATTGCCTTCTTAACTACTTTAAAATTTTGTTCATGTATCTACATCATATCCATTTGTTTAAAGTGTTTCACATACCAAGATGAAGTGGACATAATTTTTATTAAAATGCTTAGGGAAAGTATGTTTAAGTCTTTTTGATATAAACTTCAATGCCTCCAGCTTTAATATTGAATATGTACCAATGCCAAATCAAATGTTAATCATGCCCCATGAATCTAAATTCGCTCACATGCAAGAGAGTTCTTCAGTAATATACTGTATAGGACTTGTGTCTGTCACTCATTCCAATACTAAATAACATATTACAACTTAACTTCGTATAAAGAGACATCTTTATGAATTCTACCTATCTAACATTTTTTTGGTCAACAGGCCATATAGTAAATGTGCATAGACATAGGGACTTCATTCTATCTGTTTATATGCATCTTCATATATACTCATATTGAATTTCCTCTTTGTTAAACTGAGAGAACTGGCTTCCATAACTTTATATGTCACTTCGCTGAAGTCTCTTCAGCTAACAGAACTGTCATTTTTACATTTAAACACACCCCTGGAAAAAAATTACGAAGCGAGTCGCTACTAGCTTTTTTAAAAGCTAACCTTGAAGACATAATACTATGGAAATGAATCATATTTCCCCACACCCGGATGTTAAATAAATATACCTGTTACATATACTATGCAAAAAGTACACCACCTGGCGTCTAAAGTCACGTGTTGAATTTTAGTTTCCGGTATATTTATGGGTAATCAACGAGATATTCCGGATTATCATATTGTCATAGTGCATTGATCAACGTTTTTTAATACATGTTATATAGAGAAATGTATGCATGAATAGCTTTCATGGAGTAAGGTACATCTGGATTATTGATGATAACGACTTAGACAAAGCTAATAAAATTGAAGCAATAACACAACAAGAGGTGAATCAATCGACGACGAGCAAGGTTAACATATTCATTTACAGTATGTATACAGCATTGATCATATTATTTTCTCAATTCAGTGTTCATTGCACTACTATTCTCTGCTTAAATAGGCATATTCATTTCTCACGACTATAAACAAAGTAAGTAACAATATAAATAACTGTACTATAAATTTAAACAAAAATGATATCAAGATAAATAGCGTATTAAAAAAAAACTTCATGCATAATCAAACAAAATCGAAAAGACATGTTTTATATAAAACACTCTCAATTTGGTAGGCTAATTTGACATTCGTTAATTAAATATCAGATTACTGTTCGTCAATTATAACACTTTTAATAGTCACATTTTAACACTAGATAATAATGCGCAAAAAAATTACCTGTAACAAAGAAATCACTATTTTGTCATGGTTTTAGACAGAACTATCGTTATACAATTTATTACGGGTATTGAAATTGTGGACATTTTGACGTAGCTTGTCGGTGGTATACGAGTTGAAAGTAAATCATCTTGGCCCATTTTATTGTCAAATTACATTTATATGTTTCTTCTATAAACAATACAATCAATGTCATTTGTGGGACTATTTTTGTTCAAAAATGTAAACATGAACTATATTCTCATGTATAACATGAATAAATTTGTTAAAGAATTTTAAACGTGAAATTATGACTTATCATCTAAAAATTTGTTTGCAATACTTGATTTTATTTTGGTTTTCGATAAGATATACAAATTGTCAAGTTTCTAATTTTAGCAAATCAGCTAGACCACAGTTTTTCAAATACTGCAACTAGTTTGACATTTTCAAAGACGGATTAAATCGTATCTGTAAAGAAAGCGATATCTAAAAACGACTAAGGATTTTCACGACGTGTATATAACAGAAGATATGGCAATGGACTTGCGCTCCAGAAGATGTTGATTCTTTAAGTTTAGAAGATGCGTCAGACTGGTTGGATGAAAAGAGTATCTCATTTGAACTTTTAGAGACACACGGAGAGGTTTTTAGATCTGATAAAGGCAACACTCGCTTAATGCTGACTCTAACACCGCGAGAGAAACATTATGAATGTAAGTTTAGTGTAACAGTAACTTAAACACCACATAAATCTTTTGAATGTATAGATTTAAGGTACGAGATATAAAATGAAATGAAAATTGCAGACTTGAAATAGGTCGAAATATGTTTAAATTTCCAAATGTCACATTAAATTTTGTTTTAGAAATTTTTTTATTTTTTTTTTCAAAACTTTTGAGTAAAACAACAACAACAAGAGGTTAACATTTTCTTATTCACTTTATAAAACTTAAAAGTCGCCAAATTATCAACTTAAATTTAAGCTAGAATTCAAAGCATTTTTTTTTTTAGATAAGAACAATTCAAAAATTTTTATGTTATTAGGTTTAGAATCCCTACTTGGAAATTTTCCCTGTTATTTTCGTCCAGGGTTTGAGACATTCATAAAGTTTAATACAGGGATTAATTAAAAAATAAAAATTTTGAAAAATAACTTTTTTTTAAAAAATGTAAAAATACAATTCGGGTTTTAGAGTCAAATTTTTTAAATAACAAAACAAATATTGAAAAAAATTTAAAATTTTAAAATAAAACTAATAAATTTTTTTGCTCAGACAAGTGTTTAACGCCTTTTAAAATTAGGTTTTTTTTAAACAGAACCTTTGGGATTATCTGAAAGAAATTAAATGATTGCAAAGCAAAGAATAGGCCCGCGGGTTCGTTTTTCGAAATGTTATGGAAAAAGGTGGGATTAAATTAATAATTTCCTTATTTAAGGCAATTGTTTGGGTTACAAAAAGACTGACGCGTTTTTAAATTTTTCTAGGTTTTTCCTTTCCAATCAGAAAACCAGTTTTACAGGGCGAAAATGGACACTGAAATTTTTGAATTTTATATATTTGTGTGCGTTTTTTGTGCTTAATTTTTATCCCGGGGGATTTTGCCGACCCAATATAAAATAAAAAAATTCAATGAAGAATCCCAAATTTTTTATCAAATGTAACTCATTTTTTCTAAAGGTGAAACTGTTTTTGGGGAAAGCAGTTTTCAAATCTTCTGAAGGGGCCGATGTTTTGCCAGTTTCCCCCTTTCCAACATTCACAATCTGTCAAAAAACACAATAGAAAATTTTAAAAAATTTAGGTACTTTGGAAAATGGAGAAAATAAACATTTGATATTTGGGGAAGGATCGGAAAAAGAAAAAGACTTGTAGAGAAAATGTCTAGAATAAAAAAGTGCCTCAAAAAAAATAAAAACATTTCGGGCCCGTACCTTTATAAAAGTAATTCTTTTTTTGAATGTATGGTTTAAGGTAACTTTTGTGTTTTTTTCCAGTTTAAAAATTTTCAAAATTTTCCTTTATAAAACTTATAAAATTTTTTATATATATTAATATTTTTACTTTTTTTATTTTGGATCTTTAACCCAATTTTATATATTTTGAACAATATCCAAGGTTATGGGATTGCAATAACATATTTTATATCTGTGTTCATTACATGACGACTGTTTTATCCCTATTTATCTATTATCTACTTGTTTACAACAATAATTTCTATAACAAATACCTTATGAACACGCTTGATAATATACAAATATCTTCATCAAGATGAACGTCTGCTCATATTTACTTCTTGAAAGGTTTTGTGAATACATGTTATATCACTACAATATCTGATTTAACTGGATCTGTAGCGTTTAAATTTGGTCTTGCTAGTATTCCTTTGATCTTAAGCTCATATGTCTTTTGCATTCCTGGTAAAATGTTTCATTTTTACACAGGAAAATGTGACAATTGTTGATTCGCCTGGTGTAGGAGAAAGCAAGGAAATGACAGAGAAGCTAGTTAAATACCTCCCAAAAGCTGTTGCTTTCATTTATATTGTTAACAGTGCAAATGCAGGAGGAATCCAGGAAGATACTGTATGTCAGAGAATATTTGTTTATAATCATATGAATATATGTCCAGAATTATTACAAAACTGAAAATGTTAGAACATGCTTCAACTTGCAATAAAATGTTGCCTCATCATAATTTAATACAATTTATAAAAATTAGATAATTATGGTAATTTTTGCTAGTGAAACATGTACATTATGAATTGTTTAGTAAACATTTTGTATTTTCTTAATTCTAATGATCTAATAATCTTTAAAAGAACACGAGATTGACACAAAATTATGTAAGTGCAAATATCAGACTCGCTTTAATGGAGTCTCACGCCCATAGCACTGATTAAATCAGAATTGTTGGGGTCAATAATTTCAAAGGACCATAACATACAATTAAACTGAAATGCAGAATAGGAAAAAAATTTGCAGCTATCACAGAGAGACCAATACTAACATCTGGTTCCAGTAAGCAATGAAACAAACTGAAGTAGGTGACTATTAGCAAGAGTGATCACAAGTTATTCTGAACCACACATTAATTATCCATTTATGTCATGGTGGCAATTAAAAACTAAGCAACATGATAGTTTCAGTAATATAGAAAGATATGCAAGTTTATCATAAAAACAATAATATTCGTGAAACCTATGCGAAACCTAATTGCCAGCACATAAATTTACGTTATTGATTTGACGTCATATTTGTTATGTATTGATTAATTATTATAATTTTCCGGAACGCGTCAAATAAATATTGAAGATATAAACCATGCATGAATTGTTGTTGTTGGAGGATTTATGTTTGAGGATCTCAATGCCAAACGGCAAATATCAACAGCAGTTTTGTATTTTTGTATATAATCGCATAATTAAGTTTTGAGATCGGACAAAAGTTTGTGAAAATATTAATTTTTTTATTTTGTATAAACAATTAATAAATTATTCTTTATTATGAAAAAGTCGTCTTTATTGTATTTTTGTTATACTCGTATACAGGGTTTTATTTACAATTTCCTTATTTGCAGATATTACAAATCATTTCGGAACAACAGAAACTTGTCACAGAAACAGAACTATCTAGTTTTGATCCAAAAACTATGCTGTTTGTATGCAATAAATGGGATGTTGTGATAAAACGTGGTGAAAGCGAGAAAACGTGGCTAGACACAGTTCGAAAACTTAAGATGACAATTCCTGGACTAACTGAGGATCATATATTTAAAATGAGTGTCACAGAGGTATTATAAAATTATATTGTTTTCAAATAATTTTGTTTGATCCTTGACATTTTTATAAGTAAAATAAATAATTCATTTTTTTTTAAATGAAACACAGGTAATACATTTACCCTATTTACCTTTACACAGCAGTAATAAATTTGATTGAGTGGGATACTTTGTCTTTTATATATGTATATTATAGGCTGTTAAATACAAGAAGAGCAGTATAGGAAATACTGAAATGTATCAGCATTTACTGAAAGGACTTAGTCAATTCGTCCAAGACAGTTTGGTCGCCAATATAAAGAGACATTACAGGTGGGCTTTTAGTCAACAATACTAACCATTTTGGATTAATAATTCCAAAGGAATAACGGGGAATAATAAAGGCTGCTGAACACTGTTAATTTAATATAGTCATGTTCATGTTTCTTGACGCCTCTTAACCAAGGCCTTTTGAGAATTTAAAACTTCAATGAATAAACTGGTTGATATAGTCTGATTTTATTGACCTGTCAATTATGAATACATTATAGCACTCATTTAAATATTGGATCCCACTTCGGTTGTGTCCGTTTATTTACGAAAATTTAATTTGGGTAATATAACTAACGTTGAAAACCCCCCACTAGCTCAAAAAGGGGCTTCTCCGAAACATTCCGCATGGGGCGCAGTTTCGTTAAAAGGGTGAATTTTCCTAAAATCATGCAATTTTTGATTTCCCTGCTTACATTTTTTTTAGATATTTCTATTTTATTAAAATGTAAAACAAAAGTTAGTTTTAAAAAAGTGAAAACTAAAAACGGAAAAACAATTTCAAAATTTGAAATGTTAAAAAAGACATGGATTGTTCTCGACTTAAAACACGTTATATTAGATTCTTTACCTGTATTATCTATTTATTAATTTTAAATCAATTTACTGCGCCTTACAATAAGGAACATTTACAAAAAACATCTGGCAAAACGTAAAATTAGAAATGGATTACGGAATAAAATCAAACAATTGTTAAAAGATTTAAAGATAAGAAATGAGTTACAAATAGTGTTAGTTTCTTAAAAAATGTTATGAAAAAGTTGAAAAATTATATGTTTAAAACTTATTTTTGGTTTAATTTACAGATGGATAAATACTTTATCAAAAGAAATGTACATTGCTATCACGGATTAAATTAATCAAAAATCTTTAGAAAGAAAAATGAGTTAAACACTGGTGGTGTTAAGGTTGTCAAGATAAATTAGGATTCTGAAAAGGAAACATTTCTTGAGTTTTTACTAATGTAATCGGCCATCTTTAAAAACTATTTAGGTATCTGAACGCAAAAAGTTATTTTTCTTATTTTTTAGTTGATTCAATTTAATACTGCTTTCTTTTCGATGAAATATATTTTTTCGATCATGTTTGTACGCCGTAGGAAGCAAAACTTTAATCAGATTCTTATTTGAGACAAACATAACTCTTAAGGTATAAGGACCTAAATGGGCACTATTCAGGAAATTTTTAAAAATTAAACATTAATCAATTATACCAAAATAACCTTATGCAAAATTTTAAACAAATTTTACCGCGGAAATCAATTTGGGCCACCTTTTGGAATTTAAGGTAGGATTTTATTAGGGCCCCTTTTTTTTTGGTGAACCCTTTTAAAAATTTTAAAATTTTTAAAAAAAGGGTTTTCTAAAATTTTTTGGTTTTTAAAAAAAAATGACTTAAAACAAAATAACATGCAAAATTTAAATTTTAATTATTTAAAATTATTGAAATCTTGTATAAAAAAAAGTTTACCCACCCCCCATAGCTTGTTACAAAGAGGCCAATATATGGGGTGTAATTGTAATTAACACTATTAACTCAATTAACGTATTGATTCTAAATGAATCTTAAACGTATGAAACATTTTGATATGTAAATGGAATTCTGTTTATGTAGCATAATACAAAAGCCATAAAATCTATCTTATTTACATTTCATGTAGAGATTCCTCTCATGGGCGTAAACCGTTTCCTTATATGTTTTTGTAAAAGAAAACAACGAGATACGTTTTGGACTAAATTTAAAATTATTTTTTATCATTAAAATATGTTACGATTATCTCCTGAGACAACGTGGAGAAGAATTAAAAGTAACCTATCTAAAATAACCCATTAAGGGCCTCTTTATTCGGATATACGCAGAACAGATTATTCCCCCGCATGACTAGGTCATAAAATAACTAGTAAACAAAAGGGGATGTTAGTAAATAAAGAACTGAATCAACCATATTTACTTGAGCGTGGTTTTGTTGTTATTAACTTTGAAATAGAAAGTATGTGTACGATTTAGATCGGATGACTAGAAATAAAAGCACTATTCAGCAGGAATAGCTTTTGTCCGGTAACCTGATTGGCCAGTAAACATGTAGGATCCCAGTATGTTAATTTCAGTGACGAAATCATCAATCGTAATACGGTATTCCATGAAAAATATGTACAATTGCGTAAGCTGCTACGAAAATAAAATGGAAAGTTGAACAGGATTTTGTTTCTTTATCTTTCATGGAACAGATAAGGCAACAGCTTATTGATATAGCACGAAAGGAATGTCATACTGTGACACAACAACTCTATTGTCATCTCAAAAAAGATAACGTCATTTCTTATCTTGACACGTGGACTGAAGAAGAGTCGCCTGACGTAACTGATAACGATCTTGATGTTACACGATTCGAAGCGAAAGATATGATACTGAAAAAATTACTGAATGTTATTCAAACTTGGGAGAATGACACACGGATTGTGGAAAGAGCAACCCAGCAGCTTACTGACTTGTTCAATAAAGAGTGCTTAGTAATATCACAAAAATGTAAAGAAGTTAGCGAAATCCTGAAAGGCGGTTCTCTCTCAGACGGAGGCGGCCTTGTTCTAGGTAAGGCATTGTAAATAGGTACAATCTATACTTCATTTTGTTATGCCGGTAAAAAGACTAGTAGGTACTTTTGTTTTCTGAAACCATTTTTGTAACCCATGTATTGACTGATTGAATTTTATACCCAGTAACATTTTTCTGATTTCTTTTCAGTTTATTTAATGTATAGGAAATGGTTTGATTTTATTGAAGATAAAAGTTTAAGTTTCATTCTATTCCATACTCACTCCTCAATAGCTGAGAACACGCCTAAAACAGAGATGTAAAACTTCCACTTTTAAGAGCTATATGTGGCCTACCTGAAATCAGATGTTCTTTCAGGTGGCGGCGGAGGCAGCGAATCAACCGAGAATGCCGAATTAGAGGGCATCCATATTGCGATCTTAGTAGCAACTGCTCCAATATGGGTCCCTGTTGGACTTGCTGCACTTGCCATATTTGTACCTATTGGCTTAGGATACCGTGTAGTAGACAGTATTAGAAGGGCTTTCGAAAGAAAAGAATACCGAAAGAACAAGGCAATATTTATGAAGAAATGGACACATATTCTACTTGAAGACTTACATAAAAAAGAAAATATATCTAACCTGATTGAAGGAATATACTTAAAGAGTATGATAGAGCGGATTAACTATTTGTTTTCCACTTTTTTACCGAAACAAATTGAAGCCGATAGAGCTCAACTGCTCAGCATTCTAAACGATAAAAGAAGTGCTGACCAAATTATTTATCAATTTCAACCAAAGAAATTAAAAGTGAAGTCTATTGTCAAATCACTGCTCTTATTTGATTTGAGATATTTAGCTGATGATGTCATTGATATATCAAAGATTCTACGGTACAGACAAATTGGAGGGGGGAGTTTTTCTGATGTATATCGGGCGACATGGAGACAGAGTGACGGAAGTGAAAAAGAAGTCGCTCTAAAAATCTTAAAAGGTCATGACATGTACTTACAGCTATGTGAGGTTGATTGTTCAAGGTAAACATATTTGATATTAATAACATAGTTAAATATGATGTATGATTTTGCTCGTGCATCATTAAAACAGTAAGCGGTTTTATTGAATATAGATTAACATATTTTAATGTAGTTTATTTATTGATACACAGCGACATATCAGTTATAGGTGTCATTAAAAAGTAGTAGTAATATAGACAATTAAAGCACAGTTGATTATTATATAATAATTATCTTTTTCAAATTTTCAATTTGTTGTAAATGTAAGACCCAAATTTTTAACTTTTTAAACACAGGAAGTTAAGGCACAAAAATATAGTTGATTTTTACGGCGTGATCTTTGCTGAACGTGAACGATGTCAAGGTCGAATTGGCCTATCTGGAAATGAAATTGGTTTACCCCTATATGATGATCGGCTGATGCTCGTGCAGGAGCTATGTGATCAGAGTTTAGAGTCTTTGGTTTTTGGAACGAAGGACAAGCAGTGCGGGTAAGTATGTTTGTAATTAAATAACATACATAGTACAAGATTAAGCATGAACTATAACGTTTGTATATGATTACGTACATGAGAAGTGTTTATTTCTTCATAATTTTAACAGATATTGATACGGTAATGGTATTTCCTTATATTTATTGAAGGTCATTTTCCAAAACATTGCGACGGGGAGAAACGCATGAGTTTTTCTTCAATATGTGCTCATCGATATGTGAGGGTCTAAGCTACATGCATAGTACAGGGTACTTACACAGGGATTTGAAACTCTCAAATGTTCTGGTAAGACATATTAATTAAATTTTTATAAATTTATTACTAATTCAAAAGTAAATTTAAATCATATCCCATACCCCCTATATTTTACATTGTGGCTTTAATATTTTGATTTCTTCTCTGAAAATAAATAAAGTGCTGTTTTATATAACAAATTCGTTAATTGTGACCAGGAACGGGTAAAAGCAGTTATATGCAAGTTTTTGTGTATGGCGTCATTTTAAATCTTTCAATACAGGTAATAAATGGTGTTGGAAAACTGAGCGACTTGGGATTTGCTAGAGCAGAAGCTGTCGTTTCTGGGACATCAGCTGGTACTTTGTCGCACATGGCACCAGAACTTTTAGAGGAAAAAGTGTATAGTTTCAGCTCAGATGTTTACAGTTTGGGTATTCTTACATGGGAACTCTGGTATGGTACTCGATCGTATTCAGATGCAGATTTTGCTGGTTTTGGTGTTGCCCAATTTATCGATGCAGTAAAACGAGGAAAGAGGCCAAATTGTGATAAGGAACATACAATGATGGTCGAATTAATCAATTTGGTTCAACAATGCTGGAGTAATGATCCGAAACGACGTCCAATCGTGCAACAAGTCGGCTTTAAGCTGAGAAAAATCGATGAAAAATATCGGAGAGATATTTCTAGATAATTACCAAAATACTGTACCTGGTATATTTAGTTTACACATAGCTGATGCGTTTATATACTTTAAATACTGATATGTCAATACCAAAAGACCACATTGCATTTAAAATATTATAGAACCAGTAAATAGACAGGTACAGACAGTCAATCAATTTGACACTCAACGACTTTAAAGTAAAGGTACACATATAAAAGTGGTTTAATAGATCAGAACGGGTCTAATTTGTCAATGCTCAAGAAATATTTTTTTCATAATTAAATTAGGTGATATGTAAATATTGTTACTAAGGAGAAAATGACGATTTTAGATGTAGAGCTTTGAAGCAAAACGATTACATCTTTTATTTAGCTAAATAAAAGATAAAGGATATATCGGTAATGAATGGGTCACTGCAGCAATTGAAAGAATTCTTTTGAAATATGTTTGTGATACGTAAGAGTAAGAGTTACTGATAGTTCTTGTTTATAACATATCATAACATAGCATAATCTTTATTTATACACATATATAGCCGCCAATATACAATTAATTGATTTAACTAGTATTTGTGTTTTTGAGGGACATGTGTATTGGACAGTGTAGTTTCACTACAGGTATAGGTTAAATTTTTGTGTTACTTGAATGTTATTCAAAATAATACTAAAAACATAATGTTATTATTCATTCATAAATAAATAAATAAATATATATATATATATATATATATATATATATATATATATATGTGTGTGTGTGTGTGTGTGTGTGTGTGTGTGTGTGTGTGTGTGCTGTATTCCATAAATAAATAAATAAATATAATATATATATATATATATATATATATATATATAATATATATATATATATATATATATATATATATATGTGTGTGTGTGTGTGCTGTATATATATATATATATATATAATTATGATGTTTAATAGTTAAGATAATTCTAGTTAGCAAAACTCTGTCATTTATTTTGTTTGTTTGTTTTTCTTTAAGTTCATTGTTGTTTATATATAATACAAATCAAGTTTTAGTTTCTTTAACGTTTTTATTTGATCTTTGATGTCATTATTATTGTGATTTACATGTCATTTAACAAAATGGCACAAAATGACGCTTGATTGATCAAGAATAAATTATTTTAGAATTAATTAAGGTGAAAATAGGCATGACAAAAAATATTGTTGGGAAATGAGAAAAAGTGACCAACCTTTTCAGACGAATATTATCAATTCATTGTATTTTGTAGCTCTCTTTCTTTGAATGCGTTAACTTAATTAAACATTTGGATAAATTGATAAGAACTTAAGGAATTGTCTGTAATTAGTTATTCGTTTTAAGGCATTAGGTAAGAGTCTCCTTTATGAAAAGTATCCATTTTCAGTGAGGATGCGTAGTTTGTATGGGTTGTGGGTTCTAATCTACTTCAATTTTTGTGGTTTTTAATTCTCTTTTTCTCATCATTTATGGTTTTTCATTTCCATTTTATTTACATTATCGTATTAGGAAATATTTGCAAATGTACATTATACTTATTAGAGTTAAACAAGTGGGAATTGGATAGTTTTCAAAATTAAAATGCTTATTTCTCCAAATCAAGATTGTAAACATCCCTTATTATTTGCACAAACGTTTCAAATTGTTGCTTACAACTTCTGAAGAAAACATGAAATAAGTATATGTTGTTGTTCTATAAAACTAATACAAAAGTTTACCTTAAATCATAAATATGTTTGAGACAAGATATTTATTATTTAATTCATGCTAAGAATTATACATCTAAAACCTTATACATCTAAAACCTAAATAGTATACCATCTACAAAAAGCTTGTAAACTTAGGTTATTGTTTGTATTTAAACTTAGGTTATTGTTTGTATTTTCGTCAAGAATATGATCAAGTTTTGTTTAAAAATGTTTTGTTTGTCTAATTGGGTTTTACGTCACTACGACACAGTATAGTTCAAACGGCGACGTTACAGCTTTACTGGTGGAGGAAGAACTCAGGTCCTCTTCCGTGCATAATTTCAGGCACAAACGGGCACCGGAGTAGAACCACCGGCGTTCCGTAAGCTAGCTGGATAGCCACCTTACATGAAAGAATCCAAAGCCTATGTCGGGATTCGAACCCACATCGGTGAGGGCAAATTGTTTTAAGAGAATAATCTTATCCACTCGGCCACGGACGTATCTAGTTTAAACTTGTCAAGATTTAAATGTCTTATAAAATGGTAATATTTTCATTTATACATTTAATACTTAAATAGTAGACTCTGTACAGAAATATAGTTTTAGAAACGAACCATTTATTTTCACGAAAGTATAGTTATTTCATAATGTTGCGCTTGTGATTTATTAGATTGTTATTTAGATTCATAACATTTTTCAGATAAATTTAATGAAGGTTAACATAATTTACTTACTTTTTACCTACTGTCATTACTGGAATTTGTGTAGCTCCCCCCTCTATACCTACGGGTATAATCTGTATAATTATGAATGCCATAATGATAACTATATGTACTATGATCAAAATGCGAATTGAAAATGTTTGTAACAAACTGGTTACTATTTCACTTTTGGTTTTATAAATAGATGTCTTATGTGTGCATACGCCATACATCTAAATGACTTCACTCAGAGGCACATTTTACCCGACACTTACATTTTGCAGTATATAAATTGATTATTTGCGGACGGATTTTGTTCAAATTTGGACCATCTAAAATTCAACATATCATATGTACTACTTAGAATTATATTTACAATTCATTGATAAAAAATAGAAAAATAACAAAATAAATAGGCTACTGTAAAATGAAAAATCACATAATGACTGTAAAAATCCTCACAAAATGAGCAGTCTTTGAATCCCACTAAATCTGTTTGTTGACCAGTTCTAACACTTTGTTTGTCCTCAAAATTGGCTCTAACAATATAAACACCTCTGCCTCACAGTTCTCTATTCCTAAACAAAGGCTTGCTCGAGTTCCAGCCAATTATGAGGGGCTTCTGGTCGCTTTCTCACACGCCTGTTCAATTCAGCCGACAAGTGTGATGTTCGGATCTGGAGACTTATATTGCAGGAGCTGCTAAAACTCGAGGAAGCTCTTATTCAGTAATGGAGAAATATTCTCTGAGAAACTATGTCATTTCCATGAGACAGGTGTTTACACGTTGTTATAGCCATTGGAGGACACAAAAAGTATTAGAACTGGTTAACATACATGTTTAGTGGGATTCTGATACTTTTCATTTTGTTACGATACATGTATTTACAGCCATTTGTGATTTTTCATTTTGCAGTAGCATATTAATTTGTTTTATTTTTGTGTCAATTTTTTGTCAATGAATTGTTAATAAAATTATAAGTTATAAGCATGATATGTTGAATTTTTTATGGTCTAAAGTTGAACACAATCCGTCCACAAATAATCAATTTATACCGAAAAATGTAAGTGTCGGGTTATAACTGCCTCTGAGTGAATGATAATCATATGTTGTATTTACTGAGTTGATAAAAAATAAGTGTTTTGATTCTGTATGTTCTTAAAACAAAATCAATGTGCAACACAAAAAAGAATCTTAAGAAATATTGGTGTTTATATCAGAAAAGTGAGTAGGTCAAATGTAAAAGTTTTAATTTTTAGAGGGGAAATATCGAGACTTCTTTTAATAAGAAGCCATTGAGTATTAAATGTACTTTTACTGTTGATCTAAATACGTTCTGAAGACGACATGATCATCATTTGTAGCAAAATAAATTGGATAACAAGTAAAATTGAAATGATTAGTATACTTAAAATAAATTTATGACAATATGTGCCCAGAATATGCCCATTTAAATATTGGTTCGAATTTTCATAATGTTCGAATGATTTTGAGGACGAACTGTTCTGCAGTGGTCTCCCCGTACTGGTCGTAGCGTTACCGGCGCGCAGAGTTTGGCGTACTTTCTTAACGGCTGAGGGAGAACCGCCTCTCTGATAGTGGACATGGTTTTGGCTATGTAACTTGTAGTTCCATAATTCGACAAGTGATATTGATCAAAGTTGTCCTGGTTCCCGTTCGCCCCGTCAACGGAGACTAAATGCTAGCATACGGAGCATCACTTTAAATTTGGCGATAATTTAAGGCGGGCGGAACTGCAACAGCAGCGAAGAAAATGAAGTGACTGATACTGCCTCATTCGTTACCTCTCTCAACGGTTAAGTTTTAGAACGACCGGCTATAGACTGGCTCATTGGCACGTTATTTATTAGGTAGATAAAATTAGATAATGATTAAAAGAATATGCTATTCAATCATGGCACTATCACTTCAGTTAAACGTTTATTCTAACCATTGTAGCTCTGTGACATGTTGTACATCAGAAAAGCTATTTAGACTTAAATGTTGTGATATATATGCTGATAAATAGATAATGTTACATACTAAATATCAAAGTTGTGGGTTTTAAGACTTTTTTTAAATCGAGTAACCCCAATGGTGGGGCGTCTTTTCTCACAAGGGTCATAATTTGAACAATCTGTGTAGAGCACCATTAGATCATGTTACATACCAAATATTAAGGCTCTCTATCTTCTGTCTTGACAAGAAGACTGTTTAAGATTTGGTAAGAAAAACTCTTTTGGTTGCCATGGGGCAACCAGTGTTCTTCAAGGAATTTAATACTTTTAAAACTTTAATAGAGCTTCATCCAAGGAATATGCCTGCCAAGTTTAATTAAATTTGGCGGAGAATTCATTTGAATTAAAAAGTTAACGCACAGACAGAAAGACTGACGAACGACGGACGACAGACAGCACGGTGTCATAAAAGCTAACCTTGTCACTTTGTGACAGGTGAGCTAAAAAACAAAATTGAGAACGAAAGAATATTTAACTTCTAAATTAAATTAAAGGAAGGTAGATTCGTCTACTTGCATTATACATGTAACAATTAAAGCATCACCTGGGGGAGAAGTCTTTAGTGATAATATAAATTCCTTAAACTAATTTAACAAAACCATCCTAGACAGGGAGGTAGGGTTGAGCAAGCAATCCCGGCTTCCTGCTTCGGGTCAAGTTGGCGAAAACCGACTGATGAATGTAAACAAGTGATACATGAAAGAAAAAAAACAAGCAATAAAAATAAAAAAAGTAAAGTTTAAATATATTAGTATTATTTTTCATAATTGTTTCTTTTTAATAATACAAAAGTTAAAAAGACAGATATGATAAATGATAAAAGAGATGTAATAAAAGTTTAATTATCATTTATTTAACACAAAATTGCAAGTTTATGATAACATCAAATTTTATATACTGATAACCATCCGTTTACCTCAGCTTGAAGCGCTAATATTATGATGAATAACCCCTCCATGAACCACAGCGTGTACAAACAAAACCAACTTTAAATAAACAATATCTCACTTTTATCATGCATCGAATCTGTCATTTTTTATTACATACGAATTATTATTATTATTTTTATTATAAATATTACGTAGCTATAAGTATTCCCTGTTCCCGCCCTCCAAGTCTCTAAAAAAGGAATTTTTTTTTATTCGCGTTATATATATTCTCTTTTTTTTCTCTCGAAAAAAAGTGTATATATATAGCTTTATTTTCATTTAGTATTTTTAACATACATGTATGTCAGAACTTTTCAGGTTTGGCGTTTAGACCTTTATAGCTGTTGTTTACCCGAAGAGATTTTTATCGCGATTCAAACTATATACATATGCATGTATAATTCGTGATTGTTGGTAATTTAAATTAACTGGATCTTATCTAACAAGTGTTACATGAGAAGATACTGATCATTATTCAAACATTAACATATATTAGTGGTGTTAAATTTAAATAGATCAGATATTCTTGACATACTCTCTCAGCTTTCTATAACTAGAAGTGACTTCAGACTATAGCTTTATTAAATAATTCGTCAGGTTTTTATAGTGGCTGATTTTTTACCATTTGTGTTTTCGCCCCGCGGCCCCTCTAAGCGAACAGTCTAGAAGTACCAAGTTAAATGGCGGAGCTGCAGCCACCATATGTTTTAAACGTTTTGCACACAATTTAAGAGCTTTTTAAAATGGATCAAAATTGCGAAATTTATGATTTCTTGTGTTTAGTTTTATAAAATGACTTATTAATAAGATAAATTTCTAAATTTCATAGTGAAATGATTTCGCACAGACACGTGGAAAGCATTTCAAAGGCAAATCGTTATACCAAAAAAGTTAACGAAACATGTGCTAACGACTACATACATCTAATCTATTATAATCACGAGTCCTTCTCTCAAATGGAACTGCAGGTTTATATATTGATTTTTCGTTCCGAATTTTGATGTGTCAGGCTTGAGCACAGTGTTTACAAAGCCTAGCAAAAGTCTTAAAACCTTTCTTTTAGAAATTCAATTACATGTATGTTCTTACACAATCCCTACAATCCCACACGTATTTGAAATTACCCTAAGGATAGTAAAATAAATTAAAACGTCATTGAATATTTTTTTTTCCTTTGGCTGTTTCGAATTTTTCTATAAAAGGAAATACTCAGATATCAGTATTATTTTATCTATCTGTTTGTATAGGTGCATATACACAATGGATAGCTTGAAAATACTTTTTCTTGTCATGCTATGTAAGTATATATATTTATTCAGCGAAATTGTAATATTTTGAAAACAACTATTTCATTCTTTTCATTTATGGTGAATTTTCTAATTGATAGTGATTAGTAAATTAAAAGAAACTGTTATTTTTTTTATAGCAGATCCATTTATTAAATCTACATTGTCATGTATTTTTCATGTGCTGACTTTAGGGCAAGTGGACAGCGTAGGTGCGAAGAAGCTTCTTAGTGAGAGAGCCAACACTTTGAGGTCAACAGAAAAATTGATAGTGTATATAAAACTTGGGAATGATGAGGTTTGTGCTGGTGTACAAATTTCTGATGCTTGGATACTCACTCTTGCTGACTGTGTCGATACTAAAATGTAAGTTGTATCATATTTTATAACCAAGTTAGGAATTTCTGTTTTATATTAATATCTATTCTTTTTTACCACTGGCCCCTTACGGCTACAAGCTAAAGTCACGCCAGCAATATAATCTTGCACAATATAATCTCTCGGCTTTGTACATCCGTTACAGGTTCTCATAAATTTAAAGACGTTGAAATATGGCTAATTAACAATAATATAAGAAGAAATTTTAATAATAAAGCTGATGATACATAACAGTGGATTGTTCGTAGAACGATTTTTAGTCTCGGAAGAACAAATCAGCTACACTACTGAAAATGTAATCAATTTTAAATCAAAAATCTAAAAATAAGGATGTAACTAGAAGTAACATATTTTTTCTCAGGTAATGTCGAAAAAACAATGCGTCATAAAAGACAGAAAAGTTGTTATTAAAGAATTAAGTATTCATATCATTAAGGATAGTACATAATCGTTTAATGGATACACTTAAGTAAAACGAAACGTACTGATCAGTAGACCGACCCTAATACATTACCTACATTTTAAAGAGTAAATCTCTGTCAACCGCATTGAAACTGAGGGGCGTGGGTTCAAACCCAAGAAAAGGGCAACATTTTTTTTCTTTTCAACATTATTTATGTATCTCTTAGATCCTTTATGGAAAGAAAAAAGTGTTTGATTTTAATAATATAATTATTGTATGTGTTAATTTGCTAAATAATTTCAAATTAAATAGTAAATAGGATACAATATGATTTCAAATTTAAATAAAATAAAAACTAAGCGGTAAAAGTATTTTATATTTTGCAAGATCAACTAATATACTTTTGAAAAAAATTAGGCAAATTTTAAAAACAGCCCCTCGTTGTTTCAAATTTCAGGGATATTTTTTAATAAGGCTTTTTAGTAGTTTTTACATATGAATGTTTAAAGTGGGTGGAGTCGGTAACATTTTTATACATATTAAAAACATTTTGTTTAGAAACTATCATTATGTTCGTGTAATTTGTAACCTGAATGTCATTATTTATTTCTGAACAATGAGCAATAGGAAAATATTTTTCATTATAACGATAATGGCAAAAAATGTCCAACGCTCATAAACTGCACGGTAAATTTTGTTTAAATTTTCATGCAGGTGACGTTAAAGGCATATAACTGTCCTATGTTGTCAATTTTACAGTTCTTTAAGGTGCCCATTAAGGGTATTCATCCTTAAATATACATTACCATATTGGTTTTAGCAATTTCATTGGAACTCTACTGCACTCATTCGGTCATGTTTTAAACCCTGGGAAAAATCATAGTTTTTAATGGTTACAAACTTTTGATTTTGTAATGGGACGTTATATATAAGTGTATAGAAATGAAAAACAGAAATTTAACTTTCTGTAATTTTGTGAAAGGTGTAAATTTAGAATACACCAACAAAGTCGAAACTCTTGGTCCGTGTTAATAATTATTATGCGATAAAACCCTAAAATCATACTAGGTCAGTTATTTTATTTGAACATATCTATAAATTGCGAGTAATTACCTTTTATTCTACCCATAAAATATTATCAAAGTCAGATGCAAAGTGCAAGACAATCATAAATTAACAATTACATATTACAAAAAAGTGTTGAAAAGTCAAATTTTGTAACTATTTATAGAAATAACTAATCTTTCTTTCAATAAAAATATGATGTATTTATAATTTTAGTCATTTTGTCGCAGGTCGTCTAACAGGAAACATGGCCGATAAAAGTAATATTTTTGGTTATAAAAATTATCTATTTTCAAAGCTGTTCAATGAAAAATGGAATTAAAAAAAATCCGTTTAAAATAGTTATTTTTGCATTAATAAAGTTCATTATTTTATATTGATTCGATTAATTTATGGATAACAATATACGATATAATGATATAATAGTATGTACATCTTTTTAATTTCTCGGCAATGCCGGTTATACGACATTTTCTTTTATTTAAAACATGATAATGTCATTCTTAAAATAGAATATGAAACAAGGGTATAATGAATCAATTTCTCGACTGAAATAATATTCTTTAAATACAATCGTAATGTCATTTTAAATATAAAATCTAATTCTTCCGGAAAATTAAATATGAAATAATGATGAAATTTTGGCAATAGTAAGATGGGTCATTTTCCATATATACTTCAATAATGCCGCTGCAAGTGTGCATTGGTGGTCCTAAGGAGTCCCCTTTACTTCTGCTGCCTATTGTGTTTTTTGCATTGTTCTTTTTCTTTGTTAATAACACTATGTCAGAAAATAAGTGTAACTTTATTTCTATTTGATATCTTCACTTATTTTTCTAAGTTAAAATATATTATCACTGCTGGAAAATTTAAAAAAAAAGAAGAAAAGGTTTTTACACTCCTTATATCTTACTTATATTCTTTACAATTCAGTCATTTGTACGATTAATTATAGGAAATTAATCTTTTGTTTAATAACATAATTGTTTAGTAAGTTTGTCTCTGAGTAAAAGCACACACAAACTTATGTTTAAATTTTTTTGCTTTCAGTTGACAAATAAAGAATGAATTATGTGTTTCTAAGAATGTAAGAAACTAAAATCCGAATATTAAATAAACTATGGAAAAATGTCTATGATATCAACAATATCAATCTTTATGAATTCTAAAATCTTCAAATTTAAGGGTTCAATTTGGCTTAACATATTTAAAGTTATGGAAGTTAACACGTTTGTATTAGGTAAAAAATGTATTGTCTCGGTACAATACTTTTATAAAAACATTTTAATTCTACCCATGAAATGTGGTGTCATATCAGCCTAATATATTTCATATTTGTGAAAAAGAAATATTAAAAAAACAACAGAAAATGAACGTGGGCGCCGAATCAAAAATTGTATTTAAAAGACTATTTTCACCTATTCATTTTATCGTCGAAAGTTATCCAATTATGTTTTTTTTCTTCTTTTCGAAACAGTTATGGATGTGAATAATTGTGTATTGAATTCGAACCGCGTCATCCATTCATTATTGCTCGCTGTACAATTGTAACTGCACTAAACATGATAACACTTCTTTTAAATTACATATGTCACTCGCCTTTCCGGCTCGTGAAAATGTATGGAATTTCATCATGTTTCGTGAAAATATATTCCATATTTGATTCAAACGATTAAAATATCCTCTTAATATTCACACATCTGTACGCATGAAAAATTAAATTTTTATTATTTTAATAGATAAAAACATTAGATTGGAAAGTATTCAAAATTAAGATATTGGAAACATTTTAGCAAATATCGGATAGTTTCTTCAGATGTCAGGACAATAACTTAATAATGTGCAGAAACAACAAAAGATAACGCCGCAAACATCTTTCCTGATTTATTAGATTTATTTGTATTTCTAGTAAAATAAAATGAAAATCCTCAAAATAAATTGGTTTTGTTACAATAATTCTTAAACTTTGATATTAACCTACTGAACCCAAGTATGATGTTGGTCTTTTGCGGACTGCTGATCTTTACACATTTCAAGTTTGATACCATATGAATCTTAAGTTTGCTTATAATTGTGTTCTTAGAAATATGAAATATAACTATTTCATTCATTTCAAACAGACAGACAATTTTGCACACATACAAAAAATAAAAGTAAATAAAAAATCATGAAAAATGAACTAATTTGGGTAGTTTTGATGTACATTTGTGATACTTTTACTTTTTTGAAAATATCTCCTGCATCATTTAATTATGTCATGAATATACGTTTATAATTTCTCGCTCATGACTTTATTTGTTTTATATATGAGCCGCGTCACGACAAAACCAACGCAGTCTGATCAGGATCCATGCTGTTTGCTATCAGTTTCTTTACTTGTAATAGGGTTGGTAAGCGAACAGCATGGATCCTGATCAGACTGCGCGGATGCGCAGGCTGGTCTGGATACATGCTGGTCGCAAACGCACTATGTTGATTTTGTCATCCCCGACTCATACATTTATATGTATGTGAATTCTCAATTTAATATAATGCCGACCAGTATCTATATCATCAGGGCAAATAAACATAAAACCATAGTAACCAACGTCATTTGACGTTATTTGTGTTCACATGTGCACGCAACGTAAAAAATGTCGACGTCATTATCAATTTTTGTTCTGTTTTGGTTTCAACATATCAGTACAATAAAGCTTATCAATAAAGTATAACTAAACAATAATTGATAGTGTCAATCAAAACTTTCCAAATAATTCATTTTTCTTATAAATATATATATTTCTGTGTGTGTATGCAAAATTGCCCGTCTGTTTATAATGTTAAAGTTATTTATTCTTTGAAATTTTAGCAAGCTCGGAAAGTACAGTATCAAAAATCAAGATGGTTCAAAACAGGTCATTGCTGAAGACAGGGTGAGTGAGAAAAGTTTTATTTTATGTGCATGATACTTTATGTTTTTTTTAAGTGGATAGGTCTACAATGCTCACAATGTCCATTTTTTTTTCAAATACTGATAAATAAATATATCATTTTGGATATTCTGATAGCTAGGAAAATAATGTTGATTAAGTTCTTATTGATTTATTATGATCATTTATATGATGAATAATGATATTTTGTTCCAAAACATTTTAGAATATGCTATATAAATATATATAATATCGGATTATGTATCTCAAACTTGGCAACAACTTCCAAAAATAATAATTTCGTGATTTGATGTTTCTAAAACTTAATTATTCATTGTATTAAAGACCTTTATTACACAACAGTTCTTCAATTGTGTGGTGTAAGTTTAAGAAAATTCCGAGAAAATTGTACAAAGTTACAAAAAATACCGATACGTTGTCATTCTACATGAAATGGGTATGAACTAATGACTTTCTAGCATTGTGCATGATGTAATGGCAATTTTGTTGAGTTCAAACATTTCAGTTAAAAACGACTGTAATCAATGGTGAAAATACTTCATATCAAACGCGACTTTATTATTCTATTAGAGCAGCAGTTAAATGGAAATTACTTTTTAAACATGAAATAACTTATTTCCTTACACGACGAGGTTTGAACATTAATAATGCAAACTACGCCAGTGTCGACGGTCTTTAACACCAAGACACTCAGATCCAGACTTCCCTCCGTAGTATAAAACTTCTTTTTTAAGTATCAATTTTCATTCAATTTTTTTTCCAAAATGTGTGGTGAACATGTCTTAAGTCTCTTTTTCTAGTCAATATCAAATCTGATATCAAATTTCAAAAATGTATGTTTAAGCAGCTAATGGCAAAATATTATTCTTTATATTTCAGGACTCCGTTGGCGAAGAATTCGTCCTTCTTCAGATTAGGACAACTAAGGAAACAAAAACTAAATTTGCAAAACTTTCTAACTTAAGATTGCCCTCACCCGACTACGATTATCAGCTCTACAGTAAAGACGAGGCCGGTAAATTGTTTGATTGTTTAATTGCATTGCCATTATTTCTTTCTTTTCTCAATATTCCAATTTGCTAAAGAATATTTAAATCGGTTTATCAGGTTGAAGTTTGATACATTTACTTTTAGCGTCTGTATACGACATTTCATCAATTCCTATGCATTATAAACAAAGCGGCAGTCACTTTTCGTTTTCTTTTAGAAAAACAATTCTGTATTGTTTCTTAGTAACTATTTCAGAAATTTTATCTTGGTATATTTCTATATAAGAGTGTTAAGTGATATGCATTTGTTTGCTTTATAATTCATTTTTCAATTTTGTTTATAAAACCACTGTCTTTTATGAACTTAGATACTGAGGTACGAATTTGGCCAGCTATTTTATGTTGCGCATTCAAAAGTATCTATACTACTTGTTTATTCACTCTAATCCAAGTTCAAATATGGATTATTCTATATCTTTGAGTTGTGCTCTGTGAAAAAGTACATGTTCGAATGTTTTCGCCTATTTTAATGTAAGACAATTGTTATATGCCCTTTTAATCTTGAGTTATCTAATTTTAGGCGTGAATATATTCCATTAAGTTTTCTTTTACATTGATATGGGATTAATTTGTTAGGCGGAATTCTATTATCTCTATACTGTTTATATTCCAATATTTCTTTCATAATATGTCTTTTCTGCTATTTTTCTACTTATGTAGCTGTATTTCTTTCATGATAAGTGTTACGTTTAAAAAACTGAAGTCGTCACTGCCAGTTTCGAGCATTAATCAGCTCGCTCATTTCGGAAAGACCTACATGACTAGGAATCCATACTATTGCTTTTTCAAGATTTTCCGTTATAAATTCGGAATAATTTTTCAATATAAGGGCATTTAGATTTACCCTTGTCCGTCCGTCTGTACGTCCGTCTATCCGGGCAAACATCAAATTGTCTATGAGCTTCATTTCTTCCATAATCCTAGTCTAAAAATGAAACGAAGGAAATTTCCTTAACCGACTGGTTTATGTGATAATTTTACTGGTTTATGTAGGAAAATGCCACATAAAAGTCAAAGAAACGGCACATAAACCCCAAATGTTGACACGTCCGTCCGTTTTCATTTTGTGTCGCACGTACCTTAAAAAGGGGTTTGACCTAGAGTCACAAAACTTTGCAGAAATGTTAGTCAGCATGTGTAGTTGTGCACCTTGGTATTTGCGTGCGGCGTGAGTGTTGTTCGAAAAGTAATTGCTGTTGACTTAGTAAATATTTGCAACTGTCAAATTGTATCGCACGTAGCTCAAAAAGTATTCAACCAAGAGTCATGAAACTTTCAGGAATATTGCTCAGCATGTGGAGTTTTTCACATGGGGTTTCATTTGTATGTTTTTTTGTGTTTTTTTGTTGTTGTTTTTTTTGCTTGTTTTGTCAAAGTAATTGGATTTTAACTTAGTAAAATTTTAAATTTTGCAATTTTCAATTTACAAAAAGTATGTTACCTAGAGTCATGGAACTTACTTATGGGAATTTTGGTCAGCAAGTGTAGTTGTGAACCCTAGGATGCGCTTGAGGATTTATCCAGTAACTCTAGAGTTATTGCCATTGAATTACTACAGAAAATTAGTTTTCAACTTGGGTCTTGTGTGGCAACAAAAGTTACATGATCTTAATTTATAAAACTGTAGAAAATGTTGGTTGGCATCCGTTGTTGTACACCTGGGGGTTAGATTGTGGATTTATGCAGTAATTACCCTGAACTTAGTAAACACCGTTCCATTATGTTCTGTTCCTTGAGTGCTTCAGTTAGAATCAACCACTTCACAGAAATAATGATCAACATCTCTGTCTGTGACGATGTGCACCTGGGGTCTTGCATGTAGATTTTTTTTCAATTTTGCCCTTGTTTTAATATAAATTTGAAATTTTAAACTTGTTCATGCATAGCTCAAAATGTTTTTGACCTGTAGGCCTGAAAGTTTACAAGAATGTTGGTCAACATGTGTACTTATGCACCTTGGGGTTTGCTTGAGGATTTATTCAGTATCTGTAAAGTTATTGCTGTTGACTTAGTAAAAGATTTTAGTTTTCTCTTTGTGTCACATGTAGCCCAAAAATATTTGATCTAGAGTCATAAGATTGACAAAACGATGGAGTGTGAGAACACCTGTGTCCTATGAACACATTTATAGTTTTATTTGTACTGCTTTATTGGATTTTGGTCATTTCGCATGTATAAACAGATGCGTATATGTTTTGTTTCATTTTGGTTTCCTCGATTATATTTCCAAAACCTGGCGTATTCAATTTTTCCCGAACCTGCTGTACCATTTTTTGAATTTTATTGCAATTTGCCTAAATTTTAAAATGTTAAAATGATATGCATAATATCTTATAATATGTAAATTGACCGTTACTAAGCTTTCATAATTTATGCTACTTTCATTTATTTTACAAGTTAAGTTGACATTAGTTGGTTATACAATGATTACTGTTTCGCAGCACGGTTTGTCTCGACCAGTTTGTAGTCTTTGCTACTTTCTTAGCATACGATACATCTATTTGATTTTGTTAGAATAATCATATACTTTTCCGTTTTTATAGATAATAGGCATTGTTGGCAATATTTGTTACCGTAATTTGTTAAGAGTAACTCTTACAATTGTAGTGACATTATAGATCTTGATACTTACTAGTAAGAATTACGGAATGGTCACCAAGTAGTTGCAAGTTCTAATCCTGGACGGACCTTGTTGTGATTGTAATAAACTGATTTTTATCTGTTAATTAAACCAAACAGGAGTTGATAAAGTGTAAACTGCATCTTTTTGGTCGTCAGTTCTTGTAATTTTGATATAATCCAGGGGGCGAATCATTAAAAAAATTGTGATTTTCTCTATTGTTTTATTTGGCTCATTACATTTCTCTATTGTTTCGTTTAAGGTGTTCATTGTCAAACTAAAGATTATTGGACTTCAGACACTTCCTTTCGGCATCCATTTACTGTCACTACTTTTTCTTAACATGAGCCATTAAGTGTAACTTGAATAGATCATGTAGCTAAAAATTCTTTTATCCAACCAAGTATACGTCCTTGGTAGTGTAGACATCTTTCCTAGGAAAATAATATGCAAAGCGGTGTGGACTTGAAAAAACATTGCTTGTTGTTGTTGGTGGTGGCGATAATGTTGTTGTTGTTGATAATGATGATGAATCGTTGACGTTGATGAGAGCAAGGTTTTGCTGCAGCTGGTGACGACGACGATGATAATGTTTGATTTAAATTGTGTGACATAAACGGTCGGGCATTTACTACCAAATTGCAGAAACACATTTGGCACATAAAGAAAGGTGTGATGAATTCGGCCGACTATGTTTCACACGTGTGACAAATACATTTCGTGACATATACGGTCTGACAGACGTTCGTGTCTTGAAATAGAAGATCGTGAAACAAGTCGTGTGCCTTACTAATTTTAATATTGGGAGCGTACCGATATATAAGAAGTATCGAGCGATTTCTATTTTATCGTTGGCAAATTTTTTTTTTCCACCTTAATTCTTTTTATAATATGAAACTATTTATCTAAAATAAGCATTGTTTGCCTTAAAAAAGATTATTCAAAGGCCGCTTTAACCGACTTGAGAATCCTTTTACATATGCTTTTATATCCCACGGTTGCAAACTCAACTACAATTATTCGGTGCCTAATATTTTGTTTCAAATGAGCAAATCTATTTCAATTCAAAACTATTGAAGCACCATATTTTGAAATATTTGGCCCTGTGCATATAAATGTAAACTTTGATTTATGTTTTGCTACCACGAGTCCAATAATAAACATTTATTGGTGGTATAAAATTATAATTATGTAAACATAAACTGATATATTGGTAATTTTCTTTTTATTGACATATGGTTTTGTGTTATTATATTTAATGAATGTAAGAATCAAACTATGTATAAATGTTGTTTGTATTTTCACTTATGACATCGGTTGCTTTTATTGCATATGTATTAAATTGATTAAATTGGTTCATGTTTTTATATCTTATTACATCGGGAGTCGTTTTTGTCATACTTTACGTGTATATTACCAATACCAATACTGTTAATTAGTTTAAACAACGAGATTGATTTATGACAAACTTTGCTTTCAGATTAGTGATCGTTTGTACATTGTTATCATGTAACCAAAGTCTGTTTTAACAAATACGTCAGTAAAGCTATACTACGAAGATTTAGATTGCTTATGCAACAGTCATTAATTTATTAAAGTCGCTTATTGCTTTGATATTACAGATAAAGTAACTGCAAATGATGTTGTATTTGTCAGAGGCAATCAGTGTGTGGCGAAAGGCATTGAAGGCAATTTTGGAAAGACACACAAATGTTTTCAAGTCAACATAGGCAAAACTACTAAATGTTTCGTATGTTCAATTGTTATGATTTATATCTCTATATGAATCTTGTTTTACTTTCAAACTTTCTACTTTTAAATATGGTTTAACTTTCAGTATATGTTTCAATTATATTATTAAATTAATGAATAAATTAGACACTTTGAAGTGTAAAAAGCTATATACATCTACATGCAGTTAAAACAAATATTTTAAAATGATTTTGGAAAAAGAAACACCTGCAGATTATATAAAAAAAGTGATTATATTTCTTTTGAAGAAAATGACGCATGAACAGTAAAACCGTTATGGTATTCAAGAAGGTGCACGATAATTTTCCGAACGCTTCATTCTGTTTACGTAAAAATATTTGAATATCAGAGACAATTTTTTTACATTATTTACGAGAATTGACCAAATGATTAAGCAAACAGCAAGATTTTTCAAGCGAAAAGAAAATACTTTTGCATGCAAACGTAGCTTAAAATTTAGTTTGCAACAAGAATAAAAAAGACTTATCAGTTACATTCAACGCACATATGAATAATGCCATTCTTTTTATGTGCTTTGTCTTGTGACAGTAATGATAAGGCTGCGTTGAGATTTCAATTTGTTTCGAAAATGTTCAAGTTTACAAAAAACTAGTTTTGATTAGGTCTTGCTATTTTTGAAATTACATTTCAAAGAAATTGATATCTAAGGGAGCATTTTTTTTTTATAATTTTAGCCGGGATACCCAATATTTGGATCGAAGAAAAACACAATTATGTTGCAAGGATTAACAGTAGCATCATCAGATTCTTGCTCATCATCGCTTTATTCATATGCGGTCATAAAACCGCAAGTGAGCTGGATAAATACGGTCATTTTGGGTATTTATCATTATTCAATAGTCCTGTTTTTATGCCCCCCACAAATTGGGAGCATATAGCGTTGCACTTGTCCGTACGTACGTACGTCTGCCCGTCCGTCCGTTCGTCTGTCCGGACATCCCGAAATCTTGTGAACGCAAATCCTCTTAAACCGGATGACAGATTTTGCTTAAACTTCCAGGGATGAACAACCTTAATGTGTAGATGGCAGTAAAGGAAGAAATTTTTGCTGCGACCAAATTTAACAGAATTATAGCACTTTGTTATTTTTTTCACTATATTCCATATAGAAATTTTGTGAACGCAACTCCTCTTAAACCGGATGGCAGATTTTGCTTAAACTTCCAGGGATGAACAACCTTAATGTGTAGATGGTAGTAAAGGAAGGATTTCTGCTGCGACTAAATTTAACAGAATTATGGCCCTTTGTTGATTTTTTCACTATATACCAAATATAAAATTTGAGAACGTAACTCCTCTTAAACCGAATGGCAGATTTTGCATAAACTTTCAGGGATGAACAACCTTAATGTTTAGATGGTAGTAAAGGAAGGAATTCTTGCTGCGACCAAATTTAACAGAATTATTGCCCTTTGTTGATTTTTTTCACTAAATACCAAATATAAATTTTGAGAACGCAACTCCTCTTAAGCTGAATGGCAGATTTTGCATAAACTTCCAAGGATGAACAACCTTAATGTGTAGATGGTAGTTAAGGGCGGAACTTTTGCTGCGACCAAATTTAACAGAATTATGGCCCTTTGTTGATTTTTTCACTATATATCATATTTATGTTGTCAGTGGGGGCATCCGTGTCCTTTGAACACAGTTTTAGTTGTTATTGTGATTATGTGCATTATAGTGATAGAATTACGATTTTCTTCCTTGTACTAAATAATAGGAAATTATAACCAACGTAATTCATGTACATTTTTTATACGCCCGAGCAATTTCGGCGCCAATTATTATACAACTGGTTGTGTGTCTGTTAGTAAGTCTGTTAGCAATTTCGTATCCTGCCAGCTTTTTTAACCAATGAAATTGGGAACACGTAGTTAATATGTACTTATATGAGTTTTATTGTGTCAAGAGTATGAATGTTTTGTATGTAGCATTGCTTTGTTGACCTCTACAAAAGTGACATAAATCATGATCTTTATATATGGAATGGCCCGACTCTTCTATTTTTGTTTATGTAAAAATCTTGTATACCCTTTTTATAAAGCCAAAGCTTTGATAGGTTAAGCCATTGGATCACGTAAAACTGTTAACCAACGCAAATCAAAAGTACTCATCTACTGACCAAGGTGAATACACCTGTAAGTAAGTAAGGGGATCGAGGGCCAATGGGTTGTCGAGTTATTGGTTTGAAAATCTATTTAAATACAAGTCAATGTGATCCTGACTTTTGACCCCTTGATAAAAATAATTTGGGTCATCAACTGGCCATGACCAATGCAGGTAGGGAACTGATTTTTTTTTTCATACAAGGTTCATGTCTTGACATTTGACCACTTACTATTCTAACTTCTCTATACACGAAAAAACAATACAGTTGAATGTGAAAAAAAGCCTAACGAGAAACAAAAAACTTCTTAGTAATTACATTCTTTTTGAATAAAACAAATGTTTTCTTACTTTTTCGGATCTGTTTCCGCATTTGATTAAGAAAATTAGTACTGTATTTCTTATATCATACATGACTTATAAACTGAAACTGTTTGAATGTGTTAGATTTGGTGTGAAAGGAAAACCTAATAACAGATTACAGATCTGTTGGAAAATATCAAAATTGAAAAGTGACATTTGAAAGACTTTCAACCGTAGAAAGGAGCATCGGCAATTGTTAAATGTGATACTGTTTTTAAAGCAGACCAAAAAAAAAAATTTAATCTTGGGAAAATCCAGATGCCGCTTTCAATCTTAGACATAACAGCGTGAAAGGTTTTTATCAGAGTAAATTATTTTCTGGAACTTTCATTTTAACTGAACTAATGTGAAAAAGTGCATGATGTATCACCTATATTTGTTTTCATACTGTCTTTGAACTTGTTTGGTCTTAGATGAGGTACTTCGCATTTAAGGTTAAAAAGAGCCAGAGTGAAGCAATAACAAATAAAAAAATGATAAGATAATTCAAAACAAACAAACAAACAATACATATCTTCAAAGTGATAACCTTATTTAAAAACCAAAACTATATATTCCAGTCGAGACTGTTCCATAAAAAATAACTTGGGTAAATTGCATTTTAATTTCTACATAGTGCTATTGTAATGTAATATATTGAACGTACGAAAGATTTGGAGATTTAAAAAAAAACCATTTTGCAGATTGTGGCTCAGTCGAAAACATTAAAAATGGACAGGTTTCTCTCGACAAAAAATCAAAAACGTCCGTTGGAGCTACGGCGACTATTGAATGCGATCCTGGTTATCAAGCAAGTCAGCAGAAAATTGTCTGCCTAAAAACCGGTAAATGGCAAAAATCCATTTGCGCAAAAAAAGGTAAAATTAAATTGATATGATAATAGTAATAATAATGTCTTTTTATATATGATTTCACACAAAGAAATTATATATTTCTTTGAAAGATAAACCATGCATCGGACAGGAAAATAGGCTGTCACAGAGGTCGTTGATATCCTGATAATATGCCATGTTGTTTCTATAAAATAGAACATGGGTTTCCATATTTAGAGATCTCTCTATGTTCATTTCTATTTAAATTATAAATACAGTTTTTCAAAATTCGCACGATTTGTGGCTTTAACAGCGTGATGAGCCAACATAGGTACCACTGAGATGCTGTAACGTCTAAAGTAAACGCTACTTGATAAAAAAGTAGATATTTTAATTAAAATCTAATTGAAAAAAAAAAATTAGATTAAGTTTTGTGCCTATGGGTAGTGATGCTTTAAGATATTACTTTTATTGCTTACATTTCCCTTTTAGACTTTGTTTAAGTCACATAAAGGCATGGAAAAGTTGATAAAAACTTCTTTCATGTCGGATGTTTAAATATGATATAAATAAGTGCATAAAAGTTTGTTAAACATGTGTCTGTTATATGACTAAAGTTGATATTTAAGTCATTATACACGCTTTTCTTATGAGAGACATGTTGTTGAATCTTTAAACAGCGGGGAAATCAGTTTGTCAAAAATCTATAAATTACCTTGCATAATTTCTAATAATTTCCTTGAATGCTTTGCCTCATATATACGCCCCCTTTTAGGCCTCAAATAGTGTAAAATCCTGTTTGGGCACCAAACACATGTTTCTGTTGGAGAAATGTTGTAAGAAAAAGTGATCACATTTTTCTGCGCTGTCCCAAACAGAAAGAGAAATCAGGGGGTAGTGGGTGCCAGAGGGGTGATGTGCCCTTTTCTGTTTGAGATTTTGAAGGGGTCAGCTGCACCCCCCTCATCGCCAACAATATTTTTGACCTGTAAGAGTAATTAGCTTCAGGTCAATCAGAAGATAACAAGTAACCAACGCTGAAAGCCTTTGTCTGTATCTCAATTCATTGAGTTGCAGCACTTTGAAATCAGTTTGGATGGAAAATTAAACGCAAAATATGATATTTGGCAATTTTGATATGTCCCTTCGTTGCCATGGAAACAGGAAATGTAAGATTACAAAGGTCATGGTGCAGTCAACTATTTGTGCCAAGTTTGGTGAATATTGAAGCATCTTTTATAATTTCATTGCAATCTGAACTTGGAACAGGAGACTTTCAATGAAAACAGCCATTGTTAACAAAGTGCTCATGCAGTTAAGAGTTTTATTACATACCCGTGTCGATTTTACGACTCCTTATAAACGGTATTACACTAATAGTGTAAAGATGTGCTAAATGTTACCGTTATAATATAGGCGCGTCAATGAAAAAAGACTCTTTTCACTTAAAACGGTCTTTATTTTGGGTATGTGATAAATAGAATATTAATTTCGTGTAAATTCAGTACTGAATTTATTCAACTCGTTGAAAAAAATAATATTATCCTCGCCAGAGGCTCGCACAATATATTTTTTTTCAACTCGTTCGATCAATTCATTATTAAAGTTACACTCATTCATTATCCTCTATAAGATAAACAAAAATGTGCTGCTTACAGTTTCTAAAACATCAAAAATGTTATTCATACTGAATGCCAATGTTGGACCTGAGAATAATCTAATAAGTATGAAAAGAAATTTGATTAAATTTGACATAATTATAGATATCAGGGAGAGGAAGTCTTCTTTTTTTTTAATATTCCATTATGATAGTATTGCTTGTCAGGTTATAACTTCTATTAATCAATGATATCTTATTGAAACTTTTTCTAAGACTGGAGGCAGAAAGTGAAGTGTTAAAGAACTCTATCACGAAAATAATTTAAATGATATTGATAGAATTTGTATAGCATTTCAGACAGTGATAAATGTTAAGTAAAAGGAATTACGATGTTAAAGAACCATAGCTCTATCCCAAAAATAATTTAAAATAGTATTACTAGTAAATGCATTTGAATATCATCTTATAACATTTCAAACAGTTATAATGTACAAAGTGTACAAAGTCGTTATTTTATCATCCTTTTAAAGTAAAGTAAATATCCCACTTGGTTCTATCTGTTTTGGTGAAAGATGTTTGGTCACAATGTTAAAAATAGATCTCCACATCTTTGTTAATGAGACCGTTATCTATCGTCTAATAATTATATTACTTTTTGAAGTCAAATTTTTCAATAAAAACATCAAAATAAATTTAACTGTTCATATATACAATATTGAACAATATGCGATTACTAACTTATGGATGAATTGAATAGATTACAAACAATGCCAATTAGGTAACAATCGTATGACATATAAATCTGGTGTGTAATTATCTATTCAAAAAGGAGACAACAAGATATGAAATATATTTATTCTAGTCAGCTAAACAAGTACTTCAGTTACACCTGTACTCCAGGCTTGTAGTCAAAAAAGACTATATCAGTGTCTGGTTGTTTATATAAAGCAAAATTAGTTTACATAAAAATTCCATATTATTTCGAACTATCCTGGAAAACAAATATTTCCCACTGTCTTTTGACATGTAAATGTAAATATTTCCTTATTATATGCCAACCTTGGTTGTCATAAATTCATTGACGTTCCATTATTGTTCCTAAAGTGTAACATAATAATAAACACGATATAACTTCGAGTGTATAAATAATTTGTAAATAAAATCAAGTTCTTTGGTTTTGTACCATTACTCATAGCAATGTAATGTCATTAACAGGTCTCTGCGATCGGTCATTTCCACATGACCTAAAAAAATTATATAAACGTTTTAAACGTTACTCCTTTTGACTGAAGACTGTTCAAAGGATACCCTTTAATAATCGTACTTAAGTACCATCATGCTTTGTCTTGTTATCGTAATATTTTATTGAATTTAGGTGGGTAAACGTTTCTTTTTTAATCATATTTATATGCATTGTCAGACTGTGGTCCTGTAAAAAACATTGTACGTGGACGAGTCATCCTTGACAAAACAAAAACGTCGACATATGGAGCAACAGCGACAGTAAAATGCAGCCCTGGTTATAGAGCAAATCAAGAGAAAATAGTTTGTTTAGATACCGGAAAATGGGAAACAGCAAGATGCAAACTCAAAGGTATGTTCAGTATTTATTAAATACAAATTAATTACCGACGTTAATAGCTTGTCCATATATGGTATTAAAATATAATTTAAATGTCTGATAGTACATTTATGAAGATTTACTTCTAACTCCTTATTCTACTTGGAATATTGTTTGATTTTCTGAAGTACTGTAGGTAAGCTATGTTAGGCAGGTACCAGTTAAACAACTTTTACAATTACAAATCTAGAACATGTTAAAACTTTTGGGGGTTATTACAACAAAATGATTGTTTGCAAAATATGAAAAATGTATTGTTTTAAATAGCTTTTTAAGAAGAGGAGCTTACTGTTTAGTTATGCCGTTGCATTCTTTATCAGTTTTTAATTCTATTCCGCAAATAATTTAAATGGTATAGATAGAATTTGTATAGCATTTCAGACAGTGATAAATGTTAAGTAAAAGGAATAACATTGTTAAAGAACCATAACTCTATGCCAAAAATAATTTAAAATGGTATTAAATGCATTTGAATAGCATATAATAACATTTCAAACAGTTATAATTTACAAAGTGTACAAAGTCGTTATTTCATCATACTTTTAAAGTAAAGTAAATATCCCGCTTGGTTCTATTTGATTTGGTGAAAGATCAGTGGTGGTCACAATGATAAAAATAGATCTCAACATCTTTGTTAATTAGTCAGTTATCTATCGTCTAATAATTATATTACTTTTGAAATCAAATCTTTCAATAAAAACATCAAAATAAATTTTACTGTTCATGTATACAATATTGAACAAAATGCGATTACTAACTTCTAAGTGAATATTGGATGAATTGAATAGATTACAAACAATGCCAATTAGGAAACAATCGTATGACATTTAAATCTGGTGTGTAATAATCTATTCAAAAAGGAGACAACAAGATATGAAATCTATTTATTCTAGTCAGCTAAACAAGTACTTCAGTTACACCTGTACTCCAAGCTTGTAGTCAAAAAAGACTACATCAGTGTCTGGTTGTTTATATAAAGCAAAATTATTTATCTTAAAAATTCCTTATTATTTCGAACTATCCTGGAAAAATAAATATTTCCAACTTTCTTTTGACATGTAAATATTTCCTTATTATATGCCAACCTTGGTTGTCATGAACTCAGTGACTTTCCATAATTGTTCCTAAAGAGTGACATAATAATAAACACGATATAACTTCGAGTGTATAAAAATTTTGTTCACAGAATCATGTTCTTTGGTTTTGTACCATAGCTCATAGCAATGTAATGTAATTAACAGGTCTCTGCGATCGGTCATTTCTACATGACTTAAAAGAATTATATAAACGTTTTAAACGGTACTCCTTTTGACTGAAGTGTTTTTCAAAGGATACCCTTTAATAATCGAACCTAAGTACCATCATGTATTGTCTTGTTATCGTAATACTTTATTGAATTTAAGTGGGTAAACGTTTCTATTTTAACCATATTTCTATGCATTGTCAGACTGTGGTCCTGTAAAAAACATTGTACATGGACGAGTCATCCTTGACAAAACAAAAACGTCGACATATGGAGCAACAGCGACAGTAAAATGTAGCCCTGGTTATAGAGCAAATCAAAAGAAAATAGTTTGTTTAGATACCGGAAAATGGGAAACAGCAAGATGCAAACTCAAAGGTATGTTCAGTATTTATTAGATACAAATTAATTACCGACGTTAATAGCCTGTCCATATATGGTATTAAAATATAACTTAAATGTCTGATAGTACATTTATGAAGATTTACTTCTAACTCCTTATTCTACTTTGAATATTGTCTGATTTTCTGAAGTACTGTGGGTAAGCAATGTTAGGCAGGTACCAGTTAAACAACTTTTACAATTACAAATCTAGAACATGTTAAATCTTTAATAACTCTACAACAAAACGATTGTTTGCAAAAAGTGAAAAATGTTTTTTTTAAATAGCTTTTTAAGAAGAGCAGCTTACTGTTTACTTATGCCATCGCATTCTTTATCAGTTTTTTCCCCAACTTTGGTCTTACATAAAATGACAACATCATTGTAGCTAAGTGGTTCCCACAAGCTCTGAACTTTTTCCATTTTTCGAGTCATAACGTAATTTCTTGATTATGAATTCATCAAAGATATGAATCAAGAGTATATGATAAACATAAATTACCAATATGTAGAAATACAAGGAGATATGCCTCTTGCTTCTTAAAAATACATTTTTAAAAGAGCAAAATTGAAGAAATGCAAACAATATCTTACTAATTGTATAAAATCATCTATCAAGTATGTGTAACAATACATTAATACTTTGTAGTACAAACGCTGATTGGAAAATTCAATCAAAATGTATTTAACTGTTAATGTATGCTCGTACAATATTAAAGAAAATGTGATTACATATTTTATGGGTAAAGATTTGGTTTGAACAGATTATGCACGATGTCAGTAGAATCACAAACGTACTACAAACAAGTAAGATGTATTTAGAATCTATTTAAGAATCTATTTAACATTGGGACAACAAAATATAAAATAATTTTACATTATACAGCTTGACAAGTCATTGCAGCTACACCTGTATTCCTCGCTAGTAGACACACATTTATGAAGCAGAATTAATTTACCAAACTTTTCCTTGAAACTTTGTAGTATTTCATACTTTTTTGAAAACTAGTATTTCCTATTGTCCTGAGAACTATGAATATTTCCAAATTATATGCCAACCTTGTATGACATGAATTCATTGACGTCCCTTCGTTGTTCCTACAGCGTATAAAGTTTTAAAAAACGTTTGGTATCACTTTGAACGTATAAATAATGTGTAACTGAATTATATGGTTTGTCACTTTACTTATTGCAATTAATTACATGCTTTTCGGTGGTTTATAGAAATATATCAGTGATAGAAAACTGGTAATTTCACTGTTTGAAACAGTAAAATTACCACTTCGATAATTTCACTGTTTTGAATTTAAGCCCCTTACGTTTTTAATGAAATACCAGCGTGCACAGTACTGGGCACCAACTTAATGACGTGACGTCGTAAATGACGTCACGTTGTATAATTATTTGGCGCGCTTTTCATTCAGTATTAGATTTAATGTCTTTTTAAAACGTTTATTTGCATATAATAAAAAGAAAATTTGTTTAGTTTAGTGTAAGATCGAAATATATTTCACCTTGTGAACACCAAAAGTTCATATTTCACTCGTGGCTGCGCCACTCGTGAAATATACCTTTTGGTGCTCACTCGGTGAAATATATTCCGATCTTACACTGAACTAAACAAATATCCTCTATATAATAAAACAACGAGAATAAAGATCAACAAGGCAAAGGCGTTCACAGGACGCAGCCCCCGACACACCCGAGCAGGGCACCAAACCAAAACCGGGAGTGCATATAAGGGCGGCGAAAGGAAAGGGACACATAATGTGTGAAATGATAAAAACCTAAACGGCATATATGCGAATTAAAGGGTGAAATGGAAGGGGGTAAAATGGGAAGGGGTGAGAAAATAATGTTATTAATTGGTCACTGCGTCCAGCCAATTTCTAATTATTTAGAATAATTTTATCAGTGTTTTTGACGTTTGCCTTTTGACTGAAAGGACACCTTCTAATAAGCGTACATAAGTACCGTCGTGCATAACCATGTTATCGTAATACTTTATGGATTTCAAGCGGGTGTATATGATCCATTTTTAATGTTTTAATTTTTACCATATTTCTGTACATTTTCAGACTGTGGTCCTGTTAAAAAAATTGTAAATGGAAAGGTCACCCTTGACAAAGCAAAAACGTCGAAGGTGGGAGCAACAGCGACTTTAAAATGTAGCCCTGGCTTTAGACCAAATCAAGAGAAAATAAGTTGTTCAGATAACGGGAAATGGGAAGAAGCAAGATGCAAAATCATAGGTATAGTTTAGTATTCATTAAAAACAATTAAAGCACAGCCGTTATTAACTTCTCAATATATGATATCAAAATATTATTAAACCGCTTGATAATACCTTTGTCAAAATTTACGTCTAACTGCTTATAATACTTTTACATATTGTATGTTTATTTTTCTCTTACTTAAATAGTGCTCTCTTTTATTATTTGTCTATGTACCAAATGTAAGTTATACTAGATTGAGATTGCCAGTTGAACAACTTTATCGCCTAAAAATGTTGAACATATCTATACCTTTATTCGTGATTTCAACATTCGAAAAACAATAAATAAACAGTAAAAGAGATGTTACAGTAAGATGGCTTTTTATGGCTATAAATCTGGAACATGGAAATGTCACTATATCTTTTGTTATTACTTGTAAACACATCTTGAAATGTTTTAGAGCGTCAACGTTACCTTCAAGTTTGAGAGAATCATTTTACTCAAAGTAAAACTTCTTTAGATAATTACGCTGGTAAAGTAAAAACATAACTTTGTTTTTGGTTATTGACGCTTTAATACCATGGTCAAAGCAATCTTGAATCTGTTAAATGACCGTCCTGAAAAATTAAAAATTCTAACGTTGATCAACTTTCAATCCTTTTGATTTTTATTTCTGTCAGTGAGTAATGAATTCCAGTTTTATTTGCTTAGGTAACATTATCAAATGTCATTGTTACAATGTCGTTGAAAATTTATCCCATTCATCATTGATAACGTTTTATTTTAATGTTTGTTAATGACCTGTTTTAAGTACATGTATATCTAACTTTTAACAAATTTCGGTCTTTATAAAACCCTTAGAACTTTAGCGTAATGTATTTTAATGTACTGATGAAAACTTAATAAAAACTTAAAATATGGGTAGATGTCAGTCTTGAGATTATGCACGTTTTTTTTCCTATGTTGAAAAAAATGTGTTGCTATTGCAACAAATAGAGTTAAAGTATGCCAATATAACAATATTTGTGATAAATTAAAAAGTAATGAAATATATATATGAAACTTTAAATGTGGATTGATAGCAATGTTTAGATTAATCACTTTCAGCTTTTTTTCGGAGTATATTGAGAGCGGTGGATTCTGTGTCCAGATGGTTTATTAAATTTTTCAACACAGTTAAACAATTTCACTATGACTGCTTTATTTCCTACTTCAAATTTATGTTTCTGTTCATAGGCCACATTATATTTGTCAAGGTTTATAAGTATTCCGCCAAGCTAACGAGAATTACCCCCATTCAATTTAGAATGTCCATGAAAAAAAATTGAATAATTTCTTTCTTTTGAAAGCTATCTACTTCAAATTATCACGCACATCACTTATGGCAGGGTTATTAATAATAACACCTATATTATCAGAAATATCATCCTTGGATTTGGAATGTTAAGGACGTTTTCGGGAGTTTTTATATAAACATATTACGGTATTAAATTATAAATATAATACGTGCATAACTGTATAGGTGAGTAGGTGAGTTTATAAATACAGGAAACATCAGTTATAGCGAACACGGTTATAGCGAACTTCCGGTTATAAGGAACAATTTATTTTGGCACAAATTGTGCCCTGCTTTATCTAATTTAAAAATATACGGTTATAGCGAACACAGTAATAAGGAATTATCGCTTAAAAGGAACTCATTTCTTAGTCCCAATTTAGTTAAAAATACAGAATATTACATTTTTATAACGAAATCCAAAATAGCGGCTATCCGTTTATAGACCCCGCATATTCAACTTTCGTTGCATTGGCACGGATTAAAACCCGGCCGAATGTACCGTTTATTGTTGTATATATGTATTTCAAGACATCTATTAAAATGAATTTGTAAAGGAGTACGTTATAGTTTTTAATTTAGGAGGATATTTTTAGCAGAAGTTCTTGTCACCAAGGTAAAACGGTTATTCCTTTTATTCTATTATTTCTTTTCTTTAATATATTTGCTCGAGTAAAATAACTCAGATCATTGATAATATGTTTTTCAACATAATTACGCATGCTTGCAAGCATAATCCATTGAAAACTACAATGTACGCTTGATTGAAATGAAAAGAAATCAGTATCTTTCATAAGTAAAAGTCACCCTTAAAAAAGAAGATATTCAAAATAAAAGGAAGGAAAAATCAAAAATCGTGTTTATTCTTAATTATGGAAAGAAAACGAGAAGCACTTAGTTTAGAAACAAAATATGATATTTAATGAGAAATTGAGAAAGGAAGTAAACTTAAAACTGAAGTATGCAAGGATTTTCAAATTCTAAATCGTACGCTCTCTGGTATCGTGTCTAATATAGAAATAAATGACATTTTTTTCTTAATCAAATGCTCTTCAAAATGGCGGACTTTTGTAAACAATCAGTTCGTTATTCGCTATAAAAACACCTGATGCAAGGTACTAATTCGCTATATGCTAACAACGAACTCCGGATATAGGAAACAAATTTTAATGTCCCGATGAGTTTCTAATAAGCGGAGTTTACTGTAAATCTGTCACCGTTTTACCTTTTAGGTATTGTACACATTATGTGCTTTTTGTGTATCACTTTAGTCTTTTATTCTTTCATAAATTATCTTATGTTATTATTAAAAATAATATTTATCTATTCAAAAATGTACCGCTAGGACAACGTTAAAGAATTAAAATCTGGAACAGGAAAATACAACTTTGTGGTAGCATAATAATACCAAAAAAACACTGAATCTGGTTCATGACGTTTAAGATTTTGTGTCACAGTGATCTGATATTGATATATGTTAACTCCCTAATCCTTACAATTATGTAATATATTAATCAATATACCTCTGAGTTTCTCTATCAAATATCAAAAACATGCTGGTTGTATTTTAGCTTCCCAGAGCACATTCTGCTTACATTTGTAGCTCAATAAAGAACAACAATCCTCATGTGATTTCTTGTGATTATAAACCGTTTGTCTTCCTATTACAGTTTGTCTGCGTTTAAATTTTTTTTATGTGGTCATAGTTATAATAGGAAACAGGTGATTGTCCTTGTTTCCTTCATTTGGTTAAATATGATGCTTCTTATATGGCTTTATGTAGTTGAAAATAACTGAGGTATCTACTTGATATTCGCATTTGGGAAACTGGAACATTTGCCGTCAAGATATATTGAAATGTGTACATTTTTCGTCTTTTTTTTAATCCTTTGAGAGCTCTCTTGTATGAAATGTGACTTGTATATATGAAATACAAATAAAAGAGTAAAAAGCTATATCTGAAGGTACTTTTCATTAAAAAACGGTAAAATAATGCCGTTCTCATATGAGTATTGTACGGAAATAGAATAAAATAGTCTGGAAACAACATATTGAAACATCATGTATTTCGATGCTAATTTTTGTAAATTGGACGATGAATTTATGAATGCCTCACTCGCTGTCAATAAAATATACTGAGGAATCTTTCATTCTAGTTATTCTAGTTAATCGTTTTAATGAATATGAATTTGAACCATTTTTTCGCTTATGTTTAACGTTATGATATTGAATTGTAATGTAACTTATGAAAGTAATCATTTTTCAGACTGTGGGACTCCATTGAATGTAACCAATGGTAATTTGCAATATATTGCAACAACGTTTGGATCCACCGCTTCCCTTGTCTGTGATAGAGGATATGATGGAAACGGGACAATAAGATGCCTTGACACAGGCAGTTGGGAAACACCCCAAAGATGTTCTATTAAAGGTCAATTTTAATTTGTATCGATTTCCATCTTTGTTCAATGTTAAGAACTTTTGTCAATACATTTGATATGTATACGTTTAACTACAATGTTAACCCGGACGTTAGTGAATTATAAATATGTTATGTGCATTACTGTATAGGTGAGTTTAAAAATAGTTCCGTAACTGGTTTACTTTATAAATATTGTACACATATTTTGCTTTTTTGTGTAATCATTATTCAGACTGTGGGTCTCCATTGAATGTGACCAATGGTAATTTGCAATATATCGCAACAACGTTTGGATCAACCGCTTCTCTTGTCTGTGACAGAGGATATGATGGAAACGGGACAATAAGTTGCCTTGACACAGGCAGTTGGGAAACACCACCAAGTTGTTCTATTAAAGGTCAATTTTAATTTCTATCAATTTCAATCTTTGTTAAATATGAAGAACTTTTATCAATACATTTGGTATTTTGATATGTATACTTTTAACACATTATCTGCTTTTTGAGTAACACTTCTGTTTCGTTTCCAGTTATTAATTGCCTTATGTTATTATCGAAAAAATATCTTTATCTATTCAAAAATGTACCGCTAGGACAACGTTAGAGAATTAAAATCTTGAAAAGGAAAATACAACATCTTGGTAGGATAATGTTACCAATAAAACACTGAATCTGGTTCATGACGTTAAAGATTTAAGGTCACAGTGATCTGATAAAGATATATTTTACCACCCAAATCCTTACAATTATGTTAAATATTAACCAATTGAACTCTGAAATTCTCAGTTAAATATCAATAGAATGGTGGTTGTATTTTAGCTGCCCAGAGCACATTCTGCTCACATTTGTAGATCAATAAAGAACAACAATCCTCATGTGATGTCTTGTGATTATATACAGTTTGTATTCCTATTACCGTATGTCTGGGTTTAAATTTCAGTTTTTATGTGGTCATGGTTATAAAAGGAAACAATTGGTTGTCCTTGTTTCTTTCATTTGGTCAAAAATGATGTTTTTAATATGATTTATGTAGTTGAAAATAACTCAGGTATATGCTTAGTTGATATTGGCATTTGGGAAACTGGAACATTAGCCGTCAAAATATATTGAAATGTGTACATTATTCGTCTTTTTTAAACCTTTGAGAGCTCTTTTGTATGAATTGTGACTTGTATATATGAAATACAAATAAAAGAGTATAAAGCTATATCTGAAGGTACTTTTCCTTAAAAAACGGTAAAATTATGCCGTTTTCATATGAGTATTGTACGGAAATAGAATAAAATATTCTGGAAACAACAAATTTAGACAACATATTTAGATGCTATTATTTGTAAATTGGACGATGATTTTATGAATGCCCCACTCGCTGTAAATTAAAATACTGAGGACTCTTTCATTCTAGTTATTCTAGTTATAGATCGTTATAATGAATATGAACATTAACCATTCTACCGCTTTATGTTTAACGATATGATATTAAATTTAAATGTAACTAATGAATGTAACCATTATTTAGACTGTGGGTCTCCATTGAATGTGACCAATGGTAATTTGCAATATATTGCAACAACGTTTGAATCAACCGCTTCTCTTGTCTGTGATAGAGGATATGATGGAAACGGGACAATAAGCTGTCTTGACACAGGCAGTTGGGAAACACCACCAAGATGTTCTATTAAAGGTCAATTTTAATTTCTATCAATTTCCATCTTTGTTAAATATGAAGAACTTTTGTCAATACATTTGATATTTTGATATGTATACTTTTAACTACAATGTAAACCCGGACGTTTATGAATTTTGAATATATGATGTGCATTACTGTATAGGTGAGTTTAAAAAAGATCTGTCACCGTTTTCCTTATAGGTATTTAACACATTATCTGCTTTTTGTGTAACACTTCTGTTTCGTTTTCATTTATAAATTGCCTTATGTTATTATCGAAAAATTATCTTTATCTATTCAAAAATGTACCGCTAGGACAACGTTAGAGAATTAAAATCTTGAAAAGGAAAATGCAACATCTTGGTAGGATAATGTTACCAATAAAACACTGAATCTGGTTCATGACGTTAAATATTTAAGGTCACAGTGATCTGATAAAGATATATTAATATATTAATAATACAAATAAAAGAGTATAAAGCTTTATCTGAAGGTACTTTTCATTAAAAACGGTACAACTATTCCGTTTTCATATGAATATTGTACGGAAAAAGAATAAAATATTCTGGAAACAACATATTTAGACAACATTTTTAGATGCTATTCTTCGTAAATTGGACGATGAATTTATGAATGCCCCACTCGCTGTAAATAAAATATATTGAGGAATCTCTCATTCTAGTTATTCTAGTTAATCGTTTTAATGAATATGAATTTGAACCATTTTTTCGCTTATGTTTAACGGTATGATATTGAATTGTAATGTAACTTATGAAAGTAATCATTCTTCAGACTGTGGGACTCCATTGAATGTGACCAATGGTAATTTGCAATATATTGCAACAACGTTTGGATCAACCGCTTCCCTTGTCTGTGACAGAGGATATGATGGAAACGGGACAATAAGCTGCCTTGACACAGGCAGTTGGGAAACACCCCAAAGATGTTCTATTAAAGGTCAATTTTAATTTGTATCGGTTTCCATCTTTGTTCAATGTTAAGAACTTTTGTCAATACATTTGATAGGTATACGTTTAACTACAATGTTAACCCGGACGTTAGTGAATTATAAATATGTTATGTGCATTACTGTATAGGTGAGTTTAAAAATAGTTCCGTAACTGGTTTACTTTATAAATATTGTACACATATTTTGCTTTTTTGTGTAATCATTATTCAGACTGTGGGTCTCCATTGAATGTGACCAATGGTAATTTGCAATATATCGCAACAACGTTTGGATCAACCGCTTCTCTTGTCTGTGACAGAGGATATGATGGAAACGGGACAATAAGCTGCCTTGACACAGGCAGTTGGGAAACACCACCAAGTTGTTCTATTAAAGGTCAATTTTAATTTCTATCAATTTCAATCTTTGTTAAATATGAAGAACTTTTGTCAATACATTTGGTATTTTGATATGTATAAATTTAACTACAATGTAAACCCGGACGTCACTGAATTATGAAAATATTATGTGCATTACTGTATAGGTGAGTTTAAAAAAGAACTAAAATCTTGAAAAGGAAAATACAACATCTTTCTAGGATAATGTTACCAATAAAACACTGAATCTGGTTCATGACGTTAAAGATTTAAGGTCACAGTGATCTGATAAAGATATATTTTAGCACCCAAATCCTTACAATTATGTTAAATATTACCAAACGGAACTCTGAAATTTTCACTTAAATATCAATAAAATGGTGGTTGTATTTTACCTGCCCAGAGCACATTCTGCTCACATTTTAGCTCATAAAGAACAACAATCCTCATGTGATTGCTTGTGATTATATACAGTTTGTCTTCCTATTACCGTATGTCTGCGTTTAAATTTCTGTTTTTACGTGGCCATAGTTTTAATAGGAAACGGGTGGTTGTCCTTGTTTCCTTAGTTTGGTTAAAAATGATGTTTCTTATATGGCTTTATGTGGTTGAAAATAATTCAGGTATATGCTTAGTTGATATTGGCATTAGGGAAACTTGAACATTGCCGTTGAAATATATTGAAATGTGTGCATTATTCGTCTTTTGAAACCTATGAGAGCGCTCTTGTATGAATTGTGACTTGTATATATGAAATACAAATTAAAGAGTATAAAGGTATATCTGAAGGTACTTTTCCTTAAAAAATGTAAAATTATGCCGTTCTCATATGAGTATTGTACGGAAATAGAATACAATTTTCTGGAAACATCATAATTAGACAACATATTTAGATGCTATTATTTGTCAATTGCACGATTATCTTATGAATGCCCCACTCGCTGTAAATTTAATATACTGAGGAATCTTTCATTCTAGTTACTCTAATTAACCATTTTACCGCTTATGTTTAACGATGTGATATTAAATTTAAATGTAACTTATGACTGCAACCATTATTCAGACTGTGGATCTCCATTGAATGTGACCAATGGTAATTTGCAATATATCGCAACAACATTTGGATCAACCGCTTCTCTTGTCTGTGATAGAGGATACGATGGAAACGGGACAATAAGCTGCCTTGACACAGGCAGTTGGGAAACACCACCAAGTTGTTCTATCAAAGGTCAATTTTAATTTGTATCAATTTCCATCTTTGTTCAATATTAAGAACTTTTGTCAATACATTTAATATCTTGATATGTATACATTTAACTACAATGTTAACCCGGACGTCAATGAATTATGAAAATATTATGTGCATTACTGTATAGGTGAGTTTAAAAAAGATCTGTCACCGTTTTCTGTATAGGTATTTAACACATTATCTGCTTTTTATGTAACATTTCTATTTCGTTTTCATTCATTAATTGCCTTATGTTATTATCGATAAATTATATTGATCAATTCAAAAATGTAACGCTAGAACAACGTTAGAGAATTTTGAAATCTGGAACAAGAAAAAAGTACAACTTCGTGGTAGGATAATGTTACCAATAAAACACTGAATCTGGTTTATGACGTTAAAGATTAAAGGTCACAGTGATCTGATAGAGATATATTAATATATTAATAATACAAATAAAAGAGTATAAAGCTATATCTGAAGAAACTTTTCCTTTAAAAAAAAAGGGTACAATAATGCCGTTCTCATATGAGTATTTTATGGAAATAGAATAAAATGTAATGGAAACAACATATTTAGATAACATATTTAGATGCCTTTCTTTGTAAATTGCACGATTATCTTATGAATGCCCCACTCGCTGTAAATTAAATATACTGAGGAATCTTTCATTCTAGATAGTCTAGTTAATCGTAATTATGAATATGAATATAAACCATTTTTCCGCTTATGTTTAACGATATGATATTAAATTGAAATATAACTAATGAATGTAATCATTCTTCAGACTGTGGGTCTCCATTGAATGTAACCAATGGTAATTTGCAATATATCGCAACAACGTTTGGATCAACCGCTTCTCTTGTCTGTGATAGAGGATATGATGGAAACGGGACAATAAGCTGCCTTGACACAGGCAGTTGGGAAACACCACCAAGTTGTTCTATCAAAGGTCAATTTTAATTTGTATCAATTTCCATCTTTGTTCAATATTAAGAACATTTGTCAATACATTTGATATGTATACGTTAAACTACAATGTTAACCCGGACGTTAGTGAATTAAAAATATGTTATGTGCATAACTGTATAGGTGAGTTTTAAAATAGTTCCGTAACCGTTTTACTTTATAGGTATTGTACACATAATTTGCTTTTTGTGTATCACTTGTTTTGTTTTCATTTTGATTGTCTTATGTCATTATTGAAAAATTATATTTATTTACTCATAAATGTACCGCTAGGACAATGTTAAAGAATTAAAATCTTGAACATGGAAAATACAACTTCTTGGTAGGATAATGTTACCAATAAAACAATTATGATAAATATTAATCAACAGACCCTGAGTTTCTCACTCAAATATCAAAAACATGGTGGTTGTATTTAAGCTGACCAACAAAAAAAAACAAACAATCCTAATGTGTTTTCTTTTGATTATATACCGTTTGTCGTCCTATGTCAGCTACAGTTTTAATTTGAAGACTACTTTTTCTTAAATTCGTTAACCTTAATACTATATGTAAGGGATTGGACATGTTCTATTTTGAAAGTCTTGTCGTACAGACCTCCTGCAATTTCAAGTAACAGATTGCCAAATTATCTCCTGATAATGGGGGCAATGAATGAAATTCCAGAACAATTTGGGCTAAAGGTAAACATAGTAGTAAGATGGGGTTGAAAAAATGTTGAAAAAATCTTCAGGAGACCCAAAGTTGTGGTATGTTCGAATCCCAGATTATTCCGAAAATGATTAAGTCACGGTATTGGACTGTTCTCTAATCAGGGGAGGTAGTTTGTAGGCTGCCGGATAGCTCTATCAGTAGAGCCGTAGTACAAGGTGCCGAGGGTCCCAGGTTTAAGTCTCGGTCAAACTGCTCATTAAAAAAATTTAACATTAAAATAAAGAATGGAGGTGTTTCAATCATTACTCATGGAGAAAACATATTTAGTGAGTAAAGTATGTAAGATATTAATTGGGAGGGAACAGTTTTAGGGAAACCTCAGTTGATTCCTACAATGCAGAATTATCGTCTGAATGTAAGTGTTGTAATGCTTTGAAAATTGTACATCTTTTCTCTAAGTGTTGAACAACTAAATCCCACTGTCTTTTTAGGCCTTTACAATAAAGATGAATATAAACCACTATCCTCTTATTAGTTCTCCAGAACCGAAGGTTCAGGGTGAGCTATTAGTATCAAAGGGTGATACTCCGGCGTCTGTCGTCATGCGTCAACAATCGCTTTCTTCTCTGAAACTGCTGGGCAGATTTACCTCAAATTTTGTCTGTAGCATTCTTGTGGTAGTCACACTTTAATTTGCACATGTAATTTCAATTGGCCCCTTTTAGGGGTCAACAGAGCTAAAAAAAAGAAAAACCTTTTATCATCTTCTACAAAAGAGATATGATCACAAATGTTTGTCTGTAGCATTCTCGGTTAGGCTTTTATCAAGTTT